AAACAACAGACCACTACTGTTCTTCAAATATTGCAGTAAGGAAACTCATCTGGAGCGTCGCTCTGTGAACCTCCAGACGTCAGGATCCTTCACCTTCCACTTCAGTCAGTACAGTCCTTGAGAAGTTTGGAGTAGAGGCTCTCCACTCAACCAGAGCTGAAGAAAAAAATAGCAGGAGTTAAAGTAAAAATTTTCTTTTTTTTATCCGGACCACAATTAATAAATCAAATGCTCTGATACCAAAATGACAAAAAGCCATTATCTGTAGCTGTTGCAGGACAGTAATAAGCAGGGCCAATCATTTCATTTGGACCAAAAATTCACTGATTCCAGCTTCTAAAATGTGACGTTTTTCTGCTTTGCTCCTTTTTTTTATATCAGTGTAAATTGAAATAAATGTAACATCTTAACAATTTGGACTATTGGTTGGACAAAAGAAGATTTTTCATTTTATGCAATGGGAAATAGTAATGAGCTTTTTTTCATTATTATTTTATGAAATTTTATAGACTAAACAATTATCATCAATCAATTCGGTCAGTTAGATCAGTCAATCATTTAAAAAAATCTTTATTTATCTTTATCTATTTTTTATTTATAAAATTATTATATTTTATTTATTTATAAAATCTTTTATGCAGCCCGAATAGCAGTGATGGCCTTATAATCAATAATACATGTAATGTCAGTGTGAGCAGTCATACGAGCCACCAGGTGGCGCTGTGGCCTCCAGAACCAACGTCCACTGACTGGAGCCTTTGCAGAAGAAATGAACGACGCAGGAAGCAAACCTGCAGCTCTGGTGTGGTAGATTCAACTTTAGCTAAATTTAAGTCTCTCATTCTGTTTTGTTTGCTTTTACATTACAGTAAAGTGTTGGGTTTGTGTGTTCAATGTGATGATATTGTTTCTATCGTGTGTGCGCGACTGACAGCCTTGCATCCTTGTAGCTAGCCGCTTTCCACATAGCTTGCTAACATCAAAACAGGTTGATTTTTGAAGATGAATTTGGTCAAAAACAGGACTTTGCACCCACACCTGCGCGACGAGGAAGCTCTCGTGGTGGAAAACGCCATCCGGCTGGCGATAGACTCGATAATAAATGTGCTGTACGGCGTCAACAGTGCCAGGACTCATGAGTACCAGCGGATGGTGGCCGACAGGGACAAAGAGATCCGGCGGCTCGAGTGCAGGCTGGGAGAGATAGAGCACGAGCTGCAGGTGCTGCAGCGACAGGGATGCACCTGTGGGCTGTTTGGAAAAGAGCTTAGCCTCATCGGATCGCAGACCACCGGTGACCCACAGGGAGAGCAGAGAGGGTTTGAACCAAGCTGCATTGACACTGAGATGACAGCAGGGCAGCAGGAGTGTGAAATGAGTATCTCTTGTAAGTAAAAATGAGGCCAAAGGAAAAAAAACATCTATATCGTCTAGACATACAAGAATGCCTAGGGCCGGAAGAGTACTTAAATATTTTACAATTTAACAGTAAAAAGAAGTAAATGTAATTAAAAGAATGCCATTTTTGTCTCTTTTCTCCACAGTCGGCCTTTTTGCAAGACCCCCCTCACATGTTTCCTCCCAAAGCCAGGAGTCCATTCTTCCTTCATCCCCACGCAGGATGGGTCTTGACCAGACCTGCACCTCCCACTCCTCAGAGTCCTCAGGCATATCAGAGGCAGCCAGCAATCTGCCTAAATCTCCCAGCAGCTTCGTTGTCAAAGAGGAGCCATGTGACACAGTTTTAATCAAGTGGGAAAAGAGTGAAGAGAGATTCGGGGAGCATCAGGAGAACACAAGTAGTCCCTGTCAGGACAGAGAGAGCCCCAGTGTAAAAAGTAATATATGCTGCCTTTTAATTCCTGTTACACGCATATTCATAACATTACAAGGACATCAATTTAAGCTTTTATTAAGTTGCACATGTTCTGTAATACCAGAGCTTGGTATCAATCCTGACAGAGGATCAAAAATTGTCAAGTATCAAATGTTTGGCATTGTTCAGATTCTTCGACTTGTTGACTCAGTCTTTCAACAGACATTTTCTGATTTAAATTTGCTCATTTCAGACTTTATTTTAAATAGGAAAAAATCCTGATTGGCTGCTTTGTGCTGAGTCAGATTTGATCACAGTTGCATATGAGAACTTTGGTTTGTGTCCAACAGGAAAAAAAACATGGTTATATTCAACAAAGCAGGGTTAAAGCTGAAACTCCTGGTATCGTTTTGGCACCTCTATCACACATTATTAAACAATACCCGGCCTGCCTTAGAAAGAGAAAAGCCTTGTCTGAATGCTGTCATTGTAAATTGTATTAGTGTGGCAGTGGGGGTGTATGACTAAGACAATGCTCATTTCTTCTGCTCCCTTCAGAAAAACTGGAGAACAGAGAGAAACCTCATGCAGACACAGACGGACACCTCGTCACTGAAGAAGGACACTTTAGGTGGGTTATTTCATAGATCTAAATGAGCCAATTCAATGCTTTAGGTCATTAGAGTTTCTACCTCTAAGAGAAAATCCACCCAAAAACCCTGTATTTATGTTTTCTGTGGATAATTAATCAAATGTAGATAATGTGACATTGTGGGAAGACATGTTCTCCACAGGAAATTTTGAACTATATGAAATTGTTGGCATCAGGTTTTGTCACCAGCTCTTTATAATCGATGATCTGTTTTTGACTTTGTATTTTTTCACAATCCGCTCAAATGGTGGAAATTGAGAAGATCTTGCATGAAACACCATTTAATTGTTTAGCAACACTTGGTGACATGACATACTTCAAAGCAACACTATGCGCCAGTTGGTAACAACTGTAGCTATTCAGCACTGCATAGTTATATTAACGGGAACTGTAGCTATATATGTGCAGGGGGGGGGTTTAAATACAGCTTAGTAGTTTTAGAGTATCTGATTTGTAAGGGCAGTGGTGTGATGGCATCCCCACTGATCTGATTTTACCTTTGGTGCCTATTAGAATTGCAAAATTGGCAAATATTGCCATTTGTTAAATACATTTCTTAGGGGGCTTAATAGATGTAAAAGGGAAAGGTAAGACCGGTCTAGCTTGGAGTCAGTAGCTGACCCCCACAAGTGTGTGTCTACTGACCTTCCAGCTCTAGTTCTTTCTCTCATAACTGTCCTTGTTAGGGTGACGACAGTTAGACTGATAAGGGAGAGACAGAAGCTCAAGCATCAGGCTAGCAGATATCGGTGTTCTCTGGGAATCTTACAAGGTTGAATGTTAAAAGAATTTTTACGAGAACTTACTGGCTCCAGAGATTAGAGTGCAACTCATGGATAGCAATAGATTATACTCTGACGTAGCATTGGAGTCTAACCATCAGTGTTGCATGTGGCTTGAAGGACACACAGCGTGTCATGTTTTAAACCAACAGACTCTTCACACATGGATAGAGGGGGAAACAATAGCCTTATTTAGACACTTACTGAATCTCTGTAAATCTAGGAGAAATATTCCCAGACAGGAATTATCCTTCAGATGTTGGCATTTGATGTGTTCACATGTTGTGTGCTGGCACTGTATCTCCTCATTTCAGTCTTGCTATGTATCTGAAACTTCATCACACCTGACTCACACTACTTCAACACCATTTAACAACCAGCTGAAAGTGGGAAATATGTAACGGCAGACATTGCTACCTTTTGTAAAACATGTACAAATGTATTGGTTAATTTAGTGGCCTTAATTGAGAATAAAGTAGTGTATTTGCCTATACCTAGCTTCTTAAATCAGCACAATGGCCTAAGACAATCTAAATTTTAAGCACTTGGTGAACTACATACCTACTAATCTGTGTGATCCTTTCTCACTTCTTGACCTCCTCAGGAACAGGAAGAAGAGCGTGCCGACATCCGAGCTGCCGGAGGAGGCTCAGAGACTAAAGAGGGCAGCCTGGAGAGCAGCTTCCAGGCGGTATTACGCCCGAAAAATAGCCCGCCAACAGGGAAACCCCTCACGCTCCGGTACCTTTCCCCACATTACAGACTCCCGGTATTCTCAACCCATCTCTTTTGTGGATAAGAGAAAGAGGACGCTGATATCGGAGTTACCTGAAGACTCTCAGACGCTGCAGAGGGAGGCGTGGAGAGCTGCTTCCAAGAGGTACTACGCTCGAAAAATCGCTCGCCACCAGACCAGACCCACACAGTATGTACACCTGCTCCAGAACATAGAGCCGTCTGAAGAAACACTGGAACCTAACAGGGGAGGGTCCCAGACCAAGAGTGGAGGAATAATGTGCAACTGATGGACAGCAGCACTTTGAGGTTTTTTATTCTGCATATTTAAAGGTTGATTTCATTGTGTGTGAATGTTTGTATTGACATTTGTCTCAGGTCTTTTGATATGATCAGAATAGTTTAGTCTGTCATTTGTGTTTCTTCACAGTTGAAATATGCAATTAATCCGAGAACAACACAGCACATTCATATCACTTCGGTTTTAATTTCACACTCTTATTCTTTTTCTCATTTCAGTCTGATTTTGTATACTGCATTGCATGGCCTGTACAAACTGCTAACTGCAAATAAGGATTGAATAAATGTATTCTGAGGCAAAGTAAAGCCGTTGTACAGTTTTATTCATGTGATAACGACTGTCAATACAGCGCCCCTGGAGTCCAACGTCTGTAACTACAATCAAGACATTTGATAGTATTGAGCTCAGCATCTGTGTTAATGAAATACATGAAGAATTACCAGTTGAATCTTAACTAGTAAGACTTAATGTATTTTTTTTGTTCTTTTTTCTTAACATGTTAAATAATAAAGATAATATAATTTAAATACCACTGTGGTATTTGTCTCTATGGTCTTTGTTTTAATGAATGTATGTTTTGATTGTAGTAAAAACACTTTCTATTGTTATAATTTTCTTCTTATAAACTTACTGCCCCCTGAGTGAAGAAAGCTTTCTTTGTTCCAAAATGTCATTTTTCTCTGGTAAATCATACACAATAAAAGAAAAACAAGATTTGCATGTATTTTTTTCTGTTTAATTTTAATACCACATAAGGTTGTTTGTCACAGTATATGCAAAACAAGAATCTTATATTCGCTGAAGTTATACAATACAGCATTGTGTAGGCCTGCTTGCAATAAGAGAAATGGGTAATCCCAGAGTCTATATATTTCGGTTGACTTGTACCCACGGTACAGCACTTTTGTTAGGTTTAGTCCCTGCCTCAGGATTGTGGCTTATAACCTGTCAACAGAGCGCTCCTTCTGCCCCCCCAGCTGGAAAAAACAAGAACGTCTTGCAACAGCGGCTGTTTGCCACACTGGAGCACAAATATTACGCATTTTGACCGCAGTCCGATGCACAGCTGATCTTGCACAAGTGTGGTATCATATAGGACCTGTGAGTATTCATGGCTCTGTGACTTCAGTCTGAAATATGATCTGTTTGACAGCTGCTGCGGCAAACGCACAATGAGGACAGGCGCGCGTCCGGCTGGAGCTCCGGCTGTGCTGCTGGTGCTTTAGTGCTGAATAAACACGACACATGCGCCTGTTTTTACCTGAGCGCTGATGCGAACAGTCCTTTCACAGCAGATAAGGAAGGCTTTGTCATTTCTAACGGACACTCGTCTTTTTATTTCTATTTTTGTCTTCAGTTTCCACAGCAGGGAGGACACGGCTTCACTTGTGTTGCTGTTGCCTGAGGCTTGCTGTCTCAGAGAGGGGATGCGGGGTCTTTAACCTGCGGATGCTCAGGTCTGGACACGCAGAGAGACAAACGCCCATCCTATTTGTGACTGAGTTGTTGTAATATAGGCCTACGACGTAAACTTACAGGCTTTGAAGGGAACAGGCTTGTCCTTTAACGCTTTACCGACAGCTGCCAACATAGTTTGCATATGGGTTTATTTTGAGGAAAACATCTTCAACCGCCGGCGCAGCCATTTCCCAACCTAAGAATCCATTGGATTTGTCAGCAGAGTTTTTCGTATAATGATTTCTTTGTGCTACAGGACTAAATTTATGCTAATTCAAGTCTGAAGAAGGACCAGACTGTGGCTCGCAGCAGGACTACTTTGACGCAATGACTGGCTGCGTTTACAGCTCCAGTTTTTGCCTGCCTCATAGCTACCGTAGGTAATTTTCATTTGTGTGCAGTGCTATAGCGCTGTCCGTATTAGTAACTATATATTTAAGTAAAGTATATCTTTAAACACGTTAAATTAATAACTTTACTGTCAGCAGTGCCAATTGCGCCATCTGGTACATTTTCTCGTTGCACGGTTTTCAAATGAACTTTAAATTTACATTATTTGAGTGTAGTTGGAATTTTATTTGTACACTTCGTAAAGTTTTAACAGAATTATTATTATAATTACCTTTTAAGCTGGTTAAACTCCTTTTTTCCCGCTTGGAGCCTTTGGAGTTCTCTCTGTGCCTTTGGATACACTTGTGCACTTTTGGAGAGGTCCATTTGGATCCATGGTTCTCTTTTTGCGTTGTTGGATTCAACGCACATGCGAATATATTTCTTCCCGTTTTTGTGGTCCAGTCCACAAGAAAGGGGTCTCTTTGACTCATAAATACCACGAATGGACTATTTGTAGCCTCTCAAAGATGCTCCAGGGCTTGGCAAACGCACAAAAGGCTGCAGAAAGCGCCTGAGAGTTCAGCTGCGCACTTACTGACAATTGCTCTTCAGTATCAACTGTATGACTACTGGATGGACCACAATAAGTTGAAATCATAGGGGTATGACTTGGTGTATTTGAGGAGTGGGCTTTGCTGTTTAAGACCACTAAAATGCCATTTTAAAATTTAATATTGGAGCTTATGTCTATCTAAGGCCAATAGGGCAATTTCTGGGATTTAGGGGTTCTCTGGCCTCTTTAGAAATGGTTTAGTCGAATTTGATCACCCCTGCATATTCAACATACATGGAAGTGTCCTTTTTTGCAGGGATTGCTGGGAAGAAGACGAAGGCTGCCGAGGTTGGGACATTGGAGAGAGAGGCATAGACATAGCCACTCTCAAAAGGTAAGAAATCCTCTCTTCTGCTGAGGCCAATGGTGCCAAATACTTACTGGGAGGCAGTAGAGACTGTATATTTCACATTTAGACTGAAAAATTGAGGTTTTCAGATGTATTTTGATGTCTTTACAGTGTGATAGATCAGGGAGGGTCAGGGCATTATGGTGTGCATTAACAAGGAAATATGGAGGCACGGCTAGGGGGAGCCATAGCTGGGCAGGGAGGCTGCTGTCTGGCCCTGAGCTGGAGAGGGGATGTTTTGCTTATTTTACTACTCACAAACATAGAAGAACTCCAGAAGACACTTCATTGCTGCATGTTAGTCTTCATTAATATAGTTATTGTTTAAACAGCATTAGCCTCAAGGGTGTCTACATCTTCAGAAAGTGTCTCAACTGCCACACAGGCTTTAATCTGCAAAGACAGAGAGCAAACTGTCATGTGACATGAAGACAAGCATTCAAATATGTCATGAACATGTCATTTATGCACTTTAGGAATCTTTTTGTAATAGGATATAACGTGTAAAGTTGGATTAGCATTAGCAATGCTGTGGTGATAGAAAACATTCAAGATGGCCACTCCACTGCAGGGAAACAGGTGAGAGCAGCCTGTCACTTCCTGGTTAGACAGACTTTGTTTATAGCCAACGCGTAGTCAGATGTTTCTCCCTGGCAATGACTTAAACTTTATGTTTCCAATAACTAGTTGCTGTACAGTAATACAGAAGCTGAGTCACCAAGCCACAACTTTAGGCCAAGACTTTCAGACTGGGAAGTGGGAGTGCTGTGCTCTCTGCTTTCTCTGAAGGCCATGCTGCCATAGAGCAGTGATTGGTTAACCCATGGAGGTGCTTTTAACCAGGAAGCTATAACAGGTCTCATTTATTGACCCTTAATTTGCATTTTTATTAACATATAAAACCCATATGATCATATGTCTCATCAATCATCAGCTGTCTTCACATTGAGTAGAAAATTACTCAAATTGATCAAGCTCACTCGTTAAAACATCTCTTAGAAGGTGCAGAGTCGATCTAGGAATAATTTATTTTGCTCAAAGGGTTAATTTGCTGTTTCAGATTAAATCGCAGGAAGCTGTCAAATGAATCCAATTTGTGACGAATATGGCTCAGTTAATCCATTACTTAAAAAAATATCTTAAATTTTATGGTGGGTTTGTTTCAGAGGGTGTCTAAAAACCGTTATTAACCCTTTCATTACCTGTCTCCTGTTGCAGTTGCCGTATTGCCTTGAGACATGGAGGGTTTTTCACATCATCTGTGGAAACAAGGACAAAACAATAGAAATATAAAACTGGATGAATGTAATTTTATTGTAAATCTATAGAGGAACGAGCTCTTTATCAGCTGTCATAATAGGAAAAAGCGAAACAAATGCAGGGAAGATGAGAATTTATTATAAAAAAAATTCTGGAAAAGCGACATTTAAGATGCATCTTGTGTAGGTTTCAAAAATATATAAAGAAAGTGAAACATTTGCTCATGTTTTTGTTCAATCCGTCCATTTAAACACATCATCTAAAGCTGACCTGAAGCTAAAGGGTTAAGTCCTGCTCCTGACATCCTCTGCTTTTAGTCCACAGTGGTGGTGCTGAAATCAGACGGTGGAAATTTTGGGCGTCTTTGTCATTATAGGTAAATTACTGCCCCCTCTGGTGGACACGGGTATTTAACAACAAAACAAAACACGCACCACCCTGTCCATTACTGTGTGTGTGTGTGCGCGTGTGTGTGTCTCTCAGGGCCTGTTCAAGCATGCACAGCCTTGTGGTCATCAGCTGTGTGGGTCCCAAGTGTCAGCACAACAGGGGTGTCGTGATTATCTTTGAGACTATGTTGTAATCTCAGAGTGGTGAGGTGTGTGTCTGTAGTACCATGGCACGCATGCCTAGCCATAACTGACACACTGAGGTGTAGTAGAAAGATAACAGCCCTGTCACTACTAATGCTTGTGTATATGGAAAAACACCCCTGTATAATCCTGTTTTAATAAACATAACTGTTAGGTGTCAACAGAGCTTTTACTGCTCACAAATATTCTACTTAAAACTTGTAAACCCTGCCTCTAAACTAGCTTGAAACCATATAATATGTTGTTCCTATTATGTAATAAACAAGTTTTACAGCTCAGTCAGCCGTCACATTATTTGTTTTCCCACAGTATTGTCTCGCCCATTAGCTGCTGGTAGCGTCTCAGCATGCATTCCTTATTTAGCTCGCTGCTGCTGAGGAGCTATCAGCTTGGTCCATAGAAACACATAGAGAGCAGCCTGGTGCTGAAAGGCTGGAGTGCTGAATGGAGCCGTGTCATACTGAAGCAGAGAGGCTGTTAACTCCTTCACTGCTGAAAACTGCAACCAGCAAGGGACAAAACTCACTTCCTGGTTCAGTATGACAGTATGAAGCAAAATCCTCACTATGCAACTTCTATGGTGGATATATTTGAATTTTGTGTCTGAATCTCTGAATGTCTGTTGTTTCAGGAATCATCCTGATCAGGATCAGAGTCCCTTTCTTCCTTTAACAACCTAGGACGAGGTTCCTGTGAGAGCTTCAAGAGAAGAAAATTGATGTAAGGAGCTACAACTGTCCTCTAACAGTTAAACAACAGATTCAGATCCCAACCATTTGTCTATTTTGTTGGATAATTCTCATGAAATGTGTAATCTCTGTGGCTGTCAGGCTGAAAGGAGCTGAAATAATCAGTTAATAATGAGAAGCTGCTGTAGATCTGAACTGAATACAAGTTGCTCTGTGTAAAGAGTGTCAGCCGGACGTCAGCATAATAGAAATGTCACAATTAGATTAGTTTTGCTTGTGGTTTGTAGCTGATTTATTGAGCAGCTGAGAAGTGGAATCATTTTTCCTTTTTCATGGCTGTCAAATAACTTCTACATATGGATTTTATACACGAATCTCATTATTACGGCTTAACTTATTTTCATTGTCAGTTAATCCGCTAATTATTTTGGCTATAAAATGTCGGTAAATAGGCCATTATAATTTCACAGAACCCAAGTTGGTGTCCTCCAAAATTGCTTGTTGTATCTGACAAAAAGTCCAGATCCCAAAGACATTCAATATAATATCATATGTGACAAGAAAAAGCACGAAATCCTCACATTTGAAAGGTTGGAAGCAAAGCAAATGGAGGTTTTGAAAATTAATGAAACCGATCATAATTGCTAGATTTTTTTAACTGTAATAAATATCATCAATATGAATAAAAACCAGTGGTGTATTATTACAGAGATTAAAAAGAACATGACTTAAAGGATTATACATGATGTATTATTGCGGCTGTATAATCTGGTTCTCCCACTGCAAGAAACTCTAAAAAGTATAAGTCTAAAAAACATTTTGGTAACACTTTATTTTACCAGTGTCCATAATTTCCCAATAATGTTTTCTGAGGTTGAGGGTCTTGTGACAGACAGATAAAATAAAAATCTAAATCAGAGCAGCAGAGGCTGAGTTATCCTGACTTTTAGTCCTCATCATTGGATTCTACATTTGACATAATGCAAATCAACAGTGTCTTTCATTAGAAACATCTTTCAAACCACACATCCACAGTTTGTGATACAGACTCGGTTAATAAAATTTAAGCCTCATCAGGGTTATTTTTTGAACTTTGGAAAGCACCCTCCACACCCCCAGAAGACATTATACGTCTGTTTTCACAGGCTGTCATACCCCTTGTGATAACTGAATTTTATGTGTACAATTGTTGGAATGTCCCTTTAATACTACACTTGAAACTGAATGCTTTGCAGGTCATATAGTTTGATCTGTAAACAAACAGAATGCCTCGTTTAATATATGTGGCTGCAGCATCCTAAAGACCATCAGTTATAGTAAACTGTGATCTTTTTCTCTTCCCGTCTCTCTCAAAGACGTCCACATCTGCACGGAAAATCATGATGGAAGAGGACATCATGGAGGACCGTGCCAAGCTGAAGCAAGGCCTGATCAAAGTGCTCGAGTGTGTAGCCACCATCTCCTCAGCAGCAGCTGTAGTTAACCCCATTTTTGGCGTGGCTGGTTCCCTGATCCGGGTTGTGCTGCACCAGGTTGATGACGAGGACATCCGCACCTTGAAGCGCGAGTTCGGCTCAGTCAACCGGGCGCTGGACCAGCTGTCCCAGATGAATCGCAACACGCTGGTCCAGATCAAGAAGGAAACGCTGGATGGCCAGTACTGCCGCGTGGAAGAGAACCTGAAGAACCAGTTCAGAAAGTTCATGGAGATGGTGGAGGCACGGCCAGAGCACCGCGCACGCAAGAAGGAGGACTTTGAGGAGAGCTATTCCAATGACTTGGGAGACCAGAACCTGCACACACTGTACGACGGCGTGGTGGGCAAGCCAAAGCTCTTCAGCAGACCCATCCTGGAGGTTTACCTGAAGCACTCGCAGGGCGACCGGCCCACTATGGAGCGACTCTGCACACGCCTCACCTACCTATTCTGCATTGGCCTCATCGCCCTCATGGGCTACGCCGCCATCATCGGAGATGACGAGGAGGGTCTGAGTGAGGAGTGGGCCGAGAAGATGGAGCATGTGCAAGAGAAGATGCAGGAGGCTCTTCGCAAATGCAAATGAAGAACAAGCATGAAGAAGAGCTTTTTTTTCTTCATATTCAGCACTCCCATGCCCATATTCCCTCTGTAACGCCTTCCTCTTAGCTTTTTCTCTCCCCATAAGCACTTTGTAGGCACTACTTCCACTGCATGAAAGCCCAGTGATTATAATGAGCAACAATATGTCTCATTATTTTCAAAACACTAACTTGCTTCATATGCAGGCGGTCTTTAAGACACAGGCATAGATTCAGTCTGTCCAGGTTGAGGTAAAAACAACTAAATTATTACAATATTTGCCTAGTTATTTCATAAATCTGGATAAGACTGCAGTGGTTTCAATTGATTCAGAACCCTTTACAATTACTCAGAAATCTATCCTAAAAGCTCAATTTGAGCCAGCAATGTAAGGAAATGACATACTATAAATCTTCTAAAATAACACGCCAGTATAATCTGTTCAGATCTAAACATTAGCTATAAATCAGGCTTTAACATAAATGTACCTCAGTCCCAGCTTCAGTGTGTTGCAATGTATCCTGCCCGTTATGCACCTTAGGAGAATATCTGCTCTGAAATAACATGTATTACACTACAAGTAAATCAGTTTGTTGCAATTAGCCTTGCTACAGTTTCAAGTGGAGCAGAAAGCAAGCTGAGACGGCTGCCATACAAGTGTAGCTCCACTAGAGGGCCTCCTAGTCTATATCCTATATCATGTGTTATGCCATTGATGTTATAACTGCTTTAAGACAGACTTTGTTTGCGAAAAAGAAGACATTTATTTGTCAGTGAAGTTATAAATATAGTCTACAATATATTTGTCCCAAATCATCAATCATTATCATGTACTACATAATGATCTTACCTTTCTTTTGTATGGAGGTCATGATACACTACACATACTTGCTGCCCAGAACCAAATTGAATATTAAGTTTACACAAATTTCTGATGCTGCTGTTCTTTATTTTTGAAGATTTGCAGTTAAAGAACTGAAAACATTGAAAACTAAAAGTAGCCTACACATAAAATCTGATTTGCTGTAACACTACTCTGCTCTGGCAGAAAAAAAGAAACACTTCACCACAGGAGGATACACTAAACATAATATTCCATTAATAAAGGTTAAAGTAGAAATGGCTTAATATGTGCTTCCATTTTCATTACCCGTGATTGTTTGACCTTTATTCTATACACAACTGAGGTTTTAAATGTGGTATCGGAGCAAGCCATAATGTCACTGGATGAATCCTTCCACTTCTGACAAATTGGTCACTCTTTTTATTTTCCATTTGACTACATCCTATTGCCTAATAGTAATGAAGGGGAAGTCATGGATTTCTTTGGTATGTGGCCATTTAGAGCCTATAAAACATTTAATGTCCATTATTTGAGGGTCTTTTTTAATAGTTAAGCCTCAGCATCAAGATAAATTTTGGCTCTCCACGTTCTTCTCATACACTTCCTCATCTGACCAACAGTGCCTAAACGTTCCATTAGTTTTGTATTATTGTTTTGTAAGTGTATATGTGTTTATTTTTATTTTTTTTAGCAAACAGGTGGTAACAGTAGTACCAGGTGGGTTTGGATTGTTGCACCAGGACAGTTCAGTCAGCAAAATTGATTGTAAATTCAGACAGCTTTAAAATCAATCAGTTTATATGTTTTTCCTTTTCTACACAGGCCTAGCCCATTTAACTCTATTCCTTTGAATACATAACTCCGTCTTAAACGTGTTTCTGGTTCTGCGGCATTGTGCCATATATTTTATTGTTACAACAGATTCTGTATACAAATAGTGAAAATGCTGTTGATATGGAGGAATATTATATGAACCTCTTAAAGGCTTTTTTGAAATGTCATATATGTGAATATGTTGCCTTTTTTGTTATGAATCCTTGATGCCTGGGTGTACATGTACCACTATAAATAAACATGAGTGAATAATACTGATATGGAGTAGTCAATTATTTATTTTATGAACAACAGCAATTTGAAGAAAAGTATTTTATAGTGTTAAAGTTGAAGGACTTTGGACGTATAAGGAGACTTTTCAGAGCATTAAACTATTAGGGTTTATGTTAAATAGTGTTTTAATGTAAACTGTGATCCAAATCCAAAAAGATACCTCTATATCCAGTGAGCCCCAAGACTGTTATACTGAACTAACACGTTCATATGTTCTAATTTCTGTGAGATTCACTGCATGGGGGTGGAGGAAGTTACTAAAGCAGATTAATGCCCATGGTTTGGAACTAGAAAATATACATTTTTTATAACTAAAGTGTGCATGATAGTGTGCATTTTCCGCTAGAAAATATAGTGGAATAAAGGGTACAATATCATATGTGCTTTCTCACCTCCGACATGTATACAGGCTATAATGTCAAATAGCACTCATGCACTGAGATGACATCAGAGCAGTGAAACGCAAGTGGAGAATATTGTCATTAAATGTGTTAATTTGCATATGTTTTACAGTATGTGTTTTGTTTGACATTTTAAGAATTATAATCATAGGAACTCTAATTCCAAACATTTACAGCAGACTATTTGTGCTGGAAGTATCTTTCTGAAACAGAAACGTATGAAATAATTTACTGAATTGGCTTTTTTTGCTTTGACAAGGTCATATATAGGCTATATTTAGTTTTTGCTTGTTCCAACACTTTAATTCAAGTTATATGCTAGGTATATAGTAAAATATTCAATCCCAAGCCTTGAATTGAAATATTTTAGGGTCATGTACATACTTTTTTTGCCCAAAATTAAGCCTATTTGGTACCTATTTGGAAAATAAGACTAATTTGTTGGCATGAAATGTCTGCAAGGCGTGAATGTGCTATTTACTGATTTGAACGCAAGAGGGCGTGAGTAGGCTACTTTAATTCGCTTCACTTCACTTTCACCATTACATCCTTTTTCAATAAACTCCCCCGAGGGCCCACAGGACTAAAGCATAACATCTGCGTCTCCAAATTGACGAATCATTAAAGTCGGCTTTCCTTTTAGGATCAAAACAGACCTGCTACATGACCTGCGTGATGGAGAGAATCAAAATTGGTGGAAATAATGTACCTAGGCTATAAGTGGGGTAAAATGGGTGCATGACCTAGGTTAAGAACAGAATGGCCCTCGTGCATCATTATCCAGCTTAACAGGTTTGACTGACAGCTTAGAGTTGGGGAACCTAAACAGGAAAATGTGCATTGCAGGCGTTTGAAATGCAGATTAGTGAGACACAGATATTTGAGGTTCTTACCTGCTCTGCATGACGAGTGTCTTTGAGCCACCGACAGACGTTTATGATGCGATGGAGCTCATTTTTCTCTCCATGACATGAGCTCGTTTCGGAGAATCCATTTTCACCTGAAGAAATTTGTATTATTTTAGAAATTAAGATAAAAGTCTTGGCCATACATCGAAGACGAAGACAGACCTTCATACATGACGTGAAGCTCTTCAGGGTTTGGGGGAGAAACAGTTTGCGTCTGATTAGTCTTTTTTTGTTTGTTTGTTTTTTTGGTGAGGGAGGTTCAGCTTGGGCGCTCACTGGGCGCGTCGTGAGCGCACAGATAAGGAGGATGTGAGGTTGTTTGATATGATTATAATAAAGTCTTCTGATCAAACATTTTTATTTGTTTTAAATGCAGGTTTTACCCTGATGTATTTATGTTTGGGACAAATCTGAATAGAGAGAGACGACGTCTGTTAGTTATAAATAAACATTGTGTGGATGACCAGTTCCCTCCCGGCACATTATATAAGATATAGCTAATCTCCATAAATAAAACAGATTCTTGATCTTATTACAAATTCAAACGTATGGTCGAATTTCATACCACAGCAACAACAGCATTTTGACCTGAGATGTGGTAACAATGAAAAAAATATATAATTACACCAAGTTATCGTATCCAAACAACAACAACAACATTAGTTTCCGATTGTCTTACCTCAAGTTTGAATCATTTAACATTCACAGCAGCTGCAGCGCATAATGGTGATGAGACATTTGCATTAGCACCAAGTGCGCAGGAGATCTCCTTCTGGAAAAACAAAAAACTAATAAAAAATATGTGGGAAATAATGCACAGAAAGAAATAATTAAATTCAGTTCTGTTTTGTTGCAAACAGACTGAATCGTCCTTTCACGATGACTTAAAGACCGAGAAGAAAATGGCACCTACCAAATATTTCACCTTTTGCGGTTTGCGCTCTGTCTGACAGTCTCTCCCTCTCTCCTTCCCTCTCTCCTTCCCTCTCCCTCCCTCTCTCTCTCTCTCTTTTGCAGATATTGAGTGCGCATCTCTTTTTCCTCTCTGGAACCTGTTTTTGGACCCCTCATCAGCTCCATAGTGGATCAGAGGACCGTGAGAATTTTCTGAAACTTGTTTGCAGCTGTTGGAGCTCATCAGGCGTGAAGAATCATCAGACCAGTTTCACTCAGGTACAGAAAAAGCGCTGTTATTATAAGAATGTGCTGAACGTCTTCATCTTCCTTCAGAAGGGGTAAATATACTGTAAGGTGTGTCCGATGCTCTCAAGGGATTTGTGCGTAAAAAAATCCTGCAGTTGCGCATTTCTTTTGGGTGCGCATGACAGTTAAACATGGTGCAGTGTGGACACATGACAAACCGTTTTTTCATGTATTTACTTAAAGGATGCTTTTTGCTCATACACTGTATTACTTTAATAATTCAAATCTCAGATGTTTGCTTACTTGTCCTTCATTTTAATATAGAAAATAGCAAGGCATTTTCAGTTATGAATAAACAAAACAAAATTAATGTTGCGTGACGCAGCATCTGGTGTCTATCCACAGACAAACATCTGAACAGAGAGGACATGGTAATTTATGTATGTCAGGTTTTAAAAAAGGATGTAAGGGAATTTTTAAACATGGTTACTTTGGCCTTCCTCTGGAATGAGTCTTATGCAAACCCAAGGGCATTTGTGTCATTTTAGCATTCAAGTATCTCAGGCCCCCATTTTGTTTATATGACATCATTACCTGCATCCTTTGGGGTCAGTAGGTTTTTCTGCAGAGATTTGGACATTTGACCAACTTGTGTCATGTATTTTTTACTGCAACTAACAATTATTTTCGTCATCAATTCATATCTGTAGATTATTTTCCTGATTTACTGTTGTGAAATTCACATTATAAGTGTTTTGACTTTGTCAGCTTTGATTGTCTTGTTTTGTCCAACTAACTCCTATATGCAAATATATTTAGTTTACTATCACATAAGACAAATAAAACTTACAAAATCCTAACATCAGAGAAGCAGCAACCAGAGAGTGATTGAAGATTTTTGATGGAAAATTGTCTGAAACAATTATTTGATTATCTAAAGTTGCAGATAGTGTGTCCATCTATCCAGAAGACTGTCCACCAATGTATTTTATAACCTTATTATTATATAACACTTATTCTAATGTTAATAGTAGTAATGTGATTTATGAAAAAAGGGTCTCCTTTTTATCTAATCTTTGGAAATCTATCAAGTATTCCAATGAAACAATTAGAGAAATTGAATTAAATTGTTTTTGGACCAAAAACACAAGACTTTCACGAACACTGTAACAGTGCACTTCATATCTTTCTCACAAAAGGTTTATTTATATTTGACACCAGATTTTGTGCCTGAGTCTCAGAACATGACCAGTTCATTGGAGAGGGTTGTAGCCCAGAAGAAGGAGGCCATCGAGGCAGTGATGGATATGTTTGAGAGAGGGGCCGAGGTGCTGGCCAGTGCTGTGGGTGAGCTTTTCCCCCTCTGTGAGGCTGCCGCTCCGGTTCTCCGTCTGGCCTTAGACAATGTCCAGAGCAAAGAGGTCTTTTATGTCAAAGAGCAATTCCTGACGGTGAGGAACAAGCTTGATGTGCTCTCCAGCCAACTAGAAGACATCGACTGCGAGATCAAGAAGGGGAGACTGGATTCCCAGTACTTCTCAGTGGAGGAGAACATTCGGAACCAGTTTCGGAAATATATGGACATCTTAGATGCAAAACAGCAGTTCAGGGATGTGAAGACCAGACTTTTCCTGGAGCACTTTGCTAAAACTGGAGGAGAGAAGAACCTTTTTGTGCTGTATGATGCTCTGATGGGGACAAACAGCTTTGGAGAGTCGGTTTTAGAGTTGGTCGAAAGGTAAATTGTTGGATTTCATCAAATGTTTCTGGGTTCATTGCAGCTCTCATGTCTTTGACACCATTATCATTGCAAGTTTCTCTGGATTTGAGCATCAGAAAAATTCCTTAAATGTAAATGGTTCGTCTGTTTTACAGGTATGTAGCAAGGAACCGCCGTCTCCTTGAAGATTTCTGTGTCCGGATGAAAGAGCTCTTCTGTTTGGGCCTGATTTCTCTGCTGGGTCATTGTGCCTTGACCCAGGGCCAAGAGGAAGAAGACGTCAAAATCCAAGAGTGGAACAGCAAAATTGAAGAAGTAGAGTCCAGGATGAAGACAACCATTGAGTCCTGTATCGCTGCCTTCCCAGAGCAAGCAAAATTAGACGCCCAGCGCCTCCTGCAAGAAAAGGAAGAAGAGAACCTGCAAGATACAACTCAGCAGCTTCTTGAGTTCTTGGTGAAAAAGTATGACTGGGTCAGCTGGTCAGTGCGGCTAATCAACCATTCAGGGAGCACCTACCGGAACTGGAGAGCAGGGGAGCACTTTCATCACGTGGCGGGACAGAACTGGTTCGAGGTGCTCCAGGTAAACAACATCAACCTGGTGGTGTCGTACAGCACCAAACCCCAGCCGGTGCCCCGTGACTGCATCCGGCAGGTGATGGAGGGCCAGGGGAAGAAGGGAAACGCCCCGGCAGTGGTGGAGGTGTTGGAGAAGCAGCTGTGCGGGTTTGTTGTGCACGCCGTCAGTCGCCACAAGGAGTCTGCAGCTGCGTGGAACTTTCCAGAAGAGTGTCACTACTGGGAGAGACACAAGAACGTTGCAGTATGTGTGCACTCTGAGTAAAGCTGACACATGTTTAGGATTTTAGGATTTAAAAGCAGAGATGTGTATTTAAATTGAGTGTGTCGATACTGATGTTATTAAGTGAATCGTGTACTTAATTGCTGTCCACCACTGTGTATAGTTATATCCTCATGTTACTTTACACATCAGGTCCATATAGTATAGTATAACGATTTTAAATTGGGTAGAAAAGCAGCACTTACTGAAGAAATGTTACACTAACACTACTGTATATAATAGGAAGTGTCTACGCTTTTACCTCAGCTGCATACAGTAATAATCTAGTCTCCCATGGGAAATGGCTTCTGCACCTACAGCTCTAAAGAGATGGTTTTGCTGAGGTGGCATCTACTGAGCTGTGCTCCCATTTTGTCTCTATTCAGCAGGCTGGCCTACATAAGTGGGACGGGGGTTGGGAGGGGGGCAGAGGTTACTTTTTCAGCCGTGAAAAAAAAGAGGCTTGGAGTTTGGCACTGGAGATGCGACAATGTGCCTTGTGTTCTAAACACATTCAAACCCCTCGAACCAAAACAACCGAACCCCACTGCTTACCAGTGTTGTGCCTACAATTATATTATGGTTCATGTCAGTTGATTCAGCCTGCATGAGAAGTGATTTTGTCTGCAAGATTTTTGTATTTTCTGTAACATGTGGTGATAAATGATAAGTGCTTTGTTTTGCACTTGCCAGCCAATTGTTTTGGTTTATGTATGATTTTCTGTTGATGTGGGTGGTTCTTTGTTATATCCCAGCTCATTCTAAGCACTCAAACTTATTTTGTGCTTATTTCAAACACACCACTGTGAAATTTTAAATCATTTCACTAACTGGGCATCACAAAATCTTCCCAAGGAAAGAACTATCTGTGACAACAAATGAACCACTATGTACCGGGTAGGTTTAAATCCATTGTGTTATACCGATCAATGATGTAACTGGGCATTTATTTATATCAAAATGTTTTGTATTATAACTTGCACCACAGCCACATCTATATTCAAACCAAATAATCTTAATGAAATCAGTGCATGACTAATGGCCAGCGTAATCTTTATGCTTTATGACAGAACACAAATAGTTAATGGATGTATAAACAAGTATAATCTAATATCTGCCTCTCTTTTCTTGTACAAACGTGATTTACGCAGCACTGTTAGTGTCTGCGCCCATTAAAACGAGGTAGTGCACCCTCAGCAACAGGGACTCTGACTAATTGAATTGATATTTACACATAAGTCAGCATTTCCGCAACACAGCTCTAGTTTGATAGTCTATGAATAACCTTTGGCTGAGCTAATACCCTGCAGATGAGCAGCAAAGTGCTTGGTTTAGCAGGATGGTATCAGTCATAATGCGTGGTGTAGGTGCAGAGCTGGTGGAGACGGCCATCATTTCATATCTCAGTGGATCTGGAGGGTCTTTAGCTGCTAGGCTTCTCTGACGTAAATCAAGCCTGTCAGAATCCATCAAGTGTTGTCTGTAATACAGTGCAGTGCAGGAGGAGGTGGACTGTGGTTTGTCTGTGTGCAGTGGAAAATAGCCGCTGGTGGGAAGACGAGGTTGTTATGTTTCAGTGGAAAGATTTTTGATTGGTTGTCTGGCTCTATCAAAAGCTCAAAAATACACCTACAGTACCAGCACCTCTAAAGCTCACTTTTAATGTATCTAGTTAGTTTACCAACCAAGAAATAGTCAATTGTCATTTACACTTCAATTTCTGAGGATTAAATGAAATATAATGTTTAAATTAATAAGCTTTAGAGGTGCTGGTAGGCAGATTTTGTTATCTTTGGACAGAAAGAGGCTAGCTGTTTTCCCTTATTTCTTTAGTCTTTATGCTAAGCTAAGCAGCTATATTTAGCATACAGACATATAAATGTATCAGCCTTCTCATTTAACTCTCATTTAGGAAGCAAAATATAATATAGCCCATTTCAAACTATTCCTTTAATTAGTGAGCTTTAGCTGTGCTGGTAAGTGTGTTTTTGAACTTTGGACAGAGCCAGGCTAGCTGTTTCCCAATGCTTGCAGTTTTTTGCTAAATGAATCGTTTGCTGACTCCAGCTCCTCACTTAACATAGATGAATGTGATATGAATCTGCTCATCTCACTTGCTGAAACAAAAGTCCCCAAAATTTTGGACTAATACTTTATTTGAGGGTGTTGACATCCAAATTATGTGAAGAGTGTACAAATCAACCATGTATATAATACAAAGTAACCCTGTTATTGCCCTCCTGCATTGTCAAAAAGCTGGGGAACTGTATTAAATCAGCATGAGTTGCAGCCTGAAAACAATCTTACTTCTTGAACTCGGAGCTTTACACTCTTTTTTTCCCCATTCTAAAACAAATATGCTGGAATACAAAACCAAAACAAAGCTAAATGTGTCACTGTTCAAAGACAGACGTCACCACAACATTGCACCTGCTACCTTGTTGGCACAAAGCCTTCTTATAATTAGAAATCCCAGACAGGTGACTACTTTCTAAAGGCTTTACCACCTTTGATATACCAATACTTTAATCCTGCAGTGAAAAAACAGAAATGCGGAGCAGACAGACGGATGGGTGTGCCAGACAACAGCTCAGTCTACAAACCGCAGAACCAGTCCCAGAGAGCAGACCACTAAAATGTTGCAACACAAACAAAACCGGAAACTACCTGGTGTGACACCTGCACCTGCTGTTAGGCCTGTTCACTTACTTTGACACATTTACAGCTGATTTAATTAAAACACATCCCAATCTCTTCATTATCATCTTTTAATCCAATGTGGTAGATGTATTCAGGTGTTCATTTTTACATTATTACCAGAGTGTTAAGTATTTCCCAGGTTTTTCTGCTGTATAGACCTAAAGAGCATTGGCAGCCTGTACTGTAAGCCAGGGGATTCATTAGTGGTTGTGTGGGCTTTGCCTAGGTAACAACTATTGATCCAAGAGGCTCTACCCCTGCATAAAAGGCTTTGGCTGTGGTAGCCCGTCAATCCTGACTGTCATTATGGGAAGACTAAAGCATCTGTTTACTGACTAGATCTACTGCATCCATCTGAAGCCGCAGGAGCCAGAGTTAGCTTGTTTTGCGGTTGAGGGAATGTTAAAGTAAGGTTTTCTGAATGAAAGAGTGAAATCTGATGAGGAAATGGTAACACAGGTGGTCCGCAGACAGAGGGCGCTATCAACATACAGATCTGAAGCATAAACATGTTTTTAAGAAAGACATCCCTAGGAATGATGCCGGTTGCTATGGGCCTTCGTGATTAACATATGTAGAATTACATTTTAGAGGATAAGTTAAAAGTGTTAAAGTTTGTACAGCTTTTTCAGCTGTTTCATGTTTTGCTAATTGATTTAGAGTTAGAAGAGTCACATCCCTTTAGAACTTCTATACAAGATGAAAGTGCACAGTGTCACATTAGACTGTTGACCTGATTTTTACCATTTACCAGAAAACCTACAGGAAGCAGGTACAGATGTTTCCCTTTCTCTGTTGGGACTTTAGGCTGTGGCGCAGTAGAACTTAATATGAAATATGGCACAAAAAGCAAAAAGACGGCATTATGTAATTCTGGGAATAATTAACTGATTACATCCTATACAAATAAAAAACATCCCCAGCATCCCCAAATGCTCTCCTTTCCATCAAGCTGAATTGCCCCATCTCCAAGAGGAGATAGCAGCCAATATCAATATTTCATAAACAAATGAAACACTGCATGGAGGCTAGCATCAGAGTGCCCCTGGAGGATAAAGTCGATCAATGGTAGGATAGCTCTGTCCGCTGGTGTCTGCCAATCCTGGCCCACACAGGATAATGCTATTACCCATCAGTCCGAGTGGACCATCGACCAGCCTGCTGCTCTTTGAGTGGACTAATCCAATAAAAAGCATTAAAACATTTGTTCAGTGACACACTGGCTGCAGGTCCAAGCCCAGAACTCAGGACAGACGACACCACCTGGCTGAAGGCTGATTGTTTTAGGTACATGACATGTTATATCATGGACATAATGTTGTTTAATTAAAAATCAGGATATAACAGTATTTATTTATGGTAACATACAAGTGAGAAATATTTTAACTACATACCAAATGCTCATAGATGCTGGAAAGAAAAATAAACAGTAAACAGGAATAGCATCTACTCACTCTACACTCCTCCCAAGGTGTAGTGGACTGTTTTAGAACCACATATAGGTGACATTTTAAGTTACACAATCAACTATATGTGTTGGTAATTATAGGATCTAGGGAACAGCTTATCACATGGGGATACTACTTCTGCCAAACTGGTTAGTTTGCAACTTCTACCCACTATTAGCTTCTGTGATTTAGTGTATGGTTCAAGAAAAATCTATGTGGGCTTTCAGTTTTGAAATGATTAGTTATCATTCTTAATCAAAAACAGGACAGAAAGTAGGTGTGCATACTGAATAGTGTTTAGATGGATTTTACCTTTAGAAATGCAACCAGTTGTTCAAAAGTGCAGTTGACACAAGGCTAGAGGTCGTCCAATATGGCCACCACACGGTTATACATAGTAGCAGAGGGAGTAGAGTTCACTGTTGCTACTTCAGCAGCCAACTAGTTGCTCAAAGAACTAAATGTGAAAAATAACTTGAACTGGCTTACTGAAGAAGTGTGACCACGTCTACAAACACATTTTAGCACAATACTTTTTAGGCTGTTTTACAGAATGTGTAACAAAACAGCTTTTATATACACAACAAGATGGCTGATTCTTTGCCAGTTATCCACATCCAAAGGATGCAGCACCCCCAAACACAGACATTTCAAACTAAAAGCACATAATTAAATGTTACATAAACATTAAAATGTACCACACATTCACAAGATACAATCAAAGAATTAAGAATTGTTTTAATTTATTAATTCAGAACTTATATAAATATTTAAAATTTTTATTTTTATTAATAACTGATCCAGAGCCCCTTTCTGAAAATATTCTTGATTTGTAATTATTGTCAAGTATTACAGAATATTGTAGTGTTACATTAAGCACATAGTTATCTAATAAAACAGATATTTATGGGGTTTGTACTTTTATTCATTGATGGCATATGGTATGCAGCAAATAAAATCATTAATTGACCTGGTCACATGAATGTAAATATAATGTGTAATTGTATAATATACACCTTGTAATGTTATGATGGATTTGAACTTTACAGATGCAGGTAAATTGAAAACATTACATATTTCTGCAGTTTTACCTGCCGTATATATCTAAAGAGGGTCTTTATGTGCCTGAATGCATCTGGAATGTCTGGGGAATCCATCTGTCAGTAAAGCTTTTAAGTGAAAATCCACTGGGTGGTAAACACGTGTCTTCCATCTGCAGTGCCTCAAAATTTCCCTCATGTTTTCCAACATTTCCTTTTCTCCTCTGATGCCATCACAGTCTGTCTTCCCTCTTTGAGGCCCCATGTTGTCTCACTCAAACCCCCAGTGCTGTTGTAGTCTAACCCCCCTACACACACACACACAGTCAGATTCCTCTCTCCTTTGTTTGCAGCAGGTCGTCAGCTCTGTTAGCACTGAAGAATCTCAGAAAAGTGAATCTGTGTTCTTTTTCTCCCTCTCTCCGTCTTTCCACTAACCCATCTGTCTTTTCTCATTTATAGTCTACAGCTCTTACCTGTCTCCTCTCATTCTGTTAAGCTTTATTTAGCAGAACAGCTAAAAGCCTCCCAAAAGCCTAACAACAATGTTCTGCAAAAGAAACAAAAATTCTAATATATTGGAATGACCAGGAATTAAGTAAATTCAGATTGCAGACTGTCAGTGAGTTTGAGAATTCCTTGGATTATGCTGCTGGTTTCAATCTGGTAACTGAAAGCAGGAATGATTTTATATTTTAAAAGAAATGCTGCCAATCATTAGGTGAAAAAAAATCCCCTTTCTTAAATCGGTAACAGCCACTAGTAAATAAGCGAGTGTTGTTGCTCAACACTAATGGGGGAGGTGAAGTTGTGGATAATGATCCCAAGGGAGTGGGAGGTAAACGAATAAAAGCGTGAGAAAGAGGAAATGAAAGAGAGGAGAACCAGGAAATGCCACGTCACAGAGAGTCCTTCACTGGGTTAATCCCTCACAATCTGCATCAAATCCTCATGGGAACATCAGCAAATACAGAGGATCAGATGCGGGAGTGAACACAATACTGAAATTCAGTGCACCTCTTCACCTTCACCTCTTCTTTTCTGTATATATATTCTGTATTATACATATAAAATCCTCAATTAGAAAAATATCATTCACCATTTCTCAATGCTGATCATCACCTTCTTTCCTTCATATTTTCTTATCAGTATTTCTTGCATTATTTGACTTTGGTCATCAGTAACAGTTTAAACGGAGCTAATGTTTGTTAAGCAGATCTGCCAGCAGATGTGCTACAGTGAATTTATTGTTGAAAATAAATTTGAACACAACCCAAAGGAAGGTTACATTTCACTATGATGCTCAAAGTAGCAGGTTAACTACACACTTACTGAAGTGGGGTATTGACTCTGGATGAAAATACATGTGATTTAAGTTTTATTCCTGTACTTCATTGTAACATCTTGTTGCCATTACCCAATATACAGTAGATAGATACCTTTGCCTGATTGTAATGCCTGATTTCACCTGTGATGAAATGTAACATGTATTTATTCTGTTCAGAGTCAGGCCTGATACCTGAGGTGGATGTAAGAAGAAAGGGAAGTTAGTTAGAGGGTTAGTGATTCACTACTTTGTTTTTGCTTGTAACAAATATCTTCTAGAATTTGAATAATATTTAGATGCCTGAATAGTAAATCACAAAGTCTGAAAATAAACATGGTTTTTAGCAGCAGAAAATAGTTTCTTTCTTGTAAGCGATCCAGTCACAACCCCTTGGATTCATCTTGCAATCTCATGTGACCCCAGGTTGGGAACCGCCAAGATAAAGCAGGGATTTAGTTTTGAAAGACCAAGTCCTGTATCAGACTTTTTTTTTCATTTGAATTTTGTGTAGGAGTCCACTTTGTAACTAACACAGTAGTGTGGTTTCCTAAAGAAGAAACTGTATAATTTTAGGAGGATGGGGGAGGACGAAGTGTAACCTCAACATTCAGGGAAGTTCTGGGAGTTTCCCCCTCAAGCTAAAGTACAAATAGTCCCCTAGGCTTATTTGTCTGTCCACAAAAGCATTAGTGAATTACAGTTGTAATTGCTATATTGATCTGTTCTGTGAAACATCTTCAATCCCCTGCACCAGATTCTCCTAGCAGTATTTACATGCAGCAGTACATGTGACACTTTTCCCCAAAAGATTCATTAATATGTTTTCTTGTGACTACCTATCATTACTGTGTAGGATTTCTGCAGTCAGTGCTGTCACATGCTCTGTCTCTGTGAATAACCAGAGCCGCTTCCTCTACATAAAGGGCAAAATTGAAGCATGTCACTACTATAACCTTTACTGTGGAAATAAACTGACCTAAAATAATATATCATGAAGTTTATTAATATAATTAGAGAATCTTGGATTACTATAACTTCTGTAATAACAGTCTGACATTAAATTAGTACACACAGGCCTTTTTTGGAGGCTTTCGGTAAATCAAGAGTATATGATTAAACAAAATGTCTGCCAGCAAGAGTAATTGGATTTGCAATTTACTTGGAGCTTCAAGGTGGTTTGACTCACTTGTGTAAATGCAAAGATGGACTCAGGGGTGAATTTGCCTGCAATCAATAAGTCGCCTTCTCCCAGACAGTGAACCTTTATCTGTTTCCTCAGATCTAACTGAAGTTTGTATTGATTTGAGGAAGTGACAGATTGGCTTGTATCAAGGCTGTCTCTCAGCCTTTCGCTGCTGGAGTCATTGTTGCGCATACTGAGCAATCGTGCGTGACTCAGACTGGTCAAAGTTCAGTTGTATTATGTATCATGAGCAAACTGCTCAATAAAAAGAGGATTAGGAAGAGGTAAGTTACAAAGTGTTGGTCCATGATACTGTAAAATTAACAATTACTGAGAATCAGCTATTGTGCGTAACACTATTGATATCTTAAACAATTTTTGGGAGGGGGGGTAACTTAATAATAATAATGTGAGGGTGGTGGTGATGGCGCAGTGGATAAGACACATGCCTTTGGTGTGAGACCCATGTTCGAATCCACTCTGAGACACCCATGTGTCCCTGAGCAAGACACTTAACCCCTAGTTGCTTCAGAGGCGACCTCTGACATATATAGCAATAATAAGTCGCTTTGGATGAAAGCATCAGCTAAATGTATGTAATGGATTTCTTTTCCCTTAAAAGTGCCTCCTTAATCATTTTCAAGCCACATTGAGGTAAAAAAAATAACCCACATGCACTTCCTACAAACAAACAAAAAAGCAGACAAACCATGTTGAAATTTGTTGTCATTTAAATAAGCACTTTCAACACCGTGCTCACGTTACAGTACATGATAAGAAGTGAACAATCAGCAAAAAGGAGCTGATAGCAGTTCTGTCATTTAATTTTTTTTCCATGAAACCAACCTTGAAATAAACTAAGGAAGCAGATTGCCTCTCCCTTGACTTTTTTAGACCAAGTGAAACTTTAGTCTGTCACCGAACGCCATGTTCTCTGTGACCTGGAAACATCTGGAGAGGGAAGGGGGAAGGCCAGGGTTACTCAGAATCAGTTGTGTTACTTCATAACAAAAAATCCCCGAAGGACAAATTCAGACACAAAGAAGAATTGCCGAAATTTCAGTCTCGTATGAAAAGTATGTGTGCCATCCAGGGCTGTCCCCGACCAAGGATTTACATAGTCGAATCAGAATCGTCAAGTCCTGCCTAATGACTAATTTGTTTTTGTGGGCTTTTTGTTGACCCTTTTCTCTCTCTCTCTCTCTTTCTCATTATCTGAAAGTCCCGCGAGGTGCGGACAACTCGGCACAATACCGGTGAAGCTGGGGCTCCGTCTCTTCAGCAGGTGTTCCTCTTCTTTCACCACATACATACGCCTACACATGCGCACTGAAACCCAGGGTTAGGGAAACAATTTTGGATTTATTCACACACTTTAAAAACATTTATTGAAAGCTCTGTTGTTTTTACATGTTTATTTAAAGCATTAAACGTTGGAATGTGTATTGTAATAGGCTGTTTATTAACTTTTGGGGAGAAAACTGGTAATTCTATCTAAGATCAGACGTTGAGCACCCCCATATCGCCAAATTGGCATGATCCTTGTTTCGCTGCGAAGCTTCTACTGTGAGATTGACAGTCGAATCAGGCTCCGCCCATCGAAGCATCGAATCTTCGACTATTCGGGGTCAGCCCTAGCCATCCACACTAGCGGTGTGGCTCTACAGAGACGGCAGTGTTAGCCAGACGACCACTTTGGACTTTTGAATTTTTCTCAACAACTACTGGATTTATTTGTAGTTTTGTACAGACATTCATGGCTACCATGAGATTTTTATTAATGACTTTAACGATCCTCTTGCTTTTCATCTATCACCACTGGCACAGCAGCATACATTTTCTGGATAATGTATCCAGATCAGAATCAGCTTGACCACCCACAAATGCAGTCAGGCTGATTTGAGGACATTCCAGTCCACATGTGTTCTACAAGCATTTACATCTTCCATTAAAAAATGTCACATCTCCAATGTGATGTGAGCATTTGACATGGTATGTAATGTTCACCATCAACTCTTCCATTGTGGCAGCAATGCAACAGTGAAATATTTACAACTTTAAAAGCAGATGGAGGCCACATTTACATGTTCATCAGAACATCTCTGTTCTATTTACACGAAGCACGTTTGAACACGTCCCTTCCTGCTATTCAAATCGATGCAAGATGTTTATAAATGATAATCTGGGAATGGACCAACCTTCTGTCTGCTGTGCGGGGCCTCTGGCAATATCCCACAGTCAGGCACCCATTACGTCAGTAAAATATTTTCATTTTTACAGCTCAACTGCAGGACCTGTCAAACCGGTCCACATTAATTTTCCCATGGAAGTCGGATAAATCCAGCATGACGGTTACTAAATCCCATCTTTCCCACTTACAACTTTCTATTTGTGAAGCATATCCATACACTGATGTAATAGTGAGGAGTGGATATATAAACCTAAACCTATATAAAAATAAATATAGATCACAATGTGCCTATAACCAAAATGCTTCACTAATTAGGTTGTCCAGTGTGTGCAATAAATTGCCACTGTATCCATGTCTTGTATTCCAGGCTTAGAATCTTTATCTTCTCTGTGTTCTGTCTTTTGTCATATTTATGCTCTCTCTTTTCTTAGTATCCTACATACAAATGTTCAAATATCCTCTTATGTAGAAGTGTTTTTTTGTCTCACAATTAGTGCTATTGACATTTTTTCAAACATCAGTCCTTTCCAGAAAATGATGTGTGTATTCTGCCATGGGATGAGCCAATGGGCGTTTTTCCTGTGAGCTGAAGAGACATCTTGTGGTGAGGAGGAAACACTAGTCATTGGCCAAGGTCAAAAAGATAAAACATGGTCAATAGCTTCCTCGGACAAGGAAGTAATTTAACATTTCATCTTTCAGACACAAACAACAAAGAAGGCACAATATCTGTTACTGGATTTTGTTTTTAAAATAATTGCCATTAGACGAAACATGAACTTCACATAAAATGACGTAAATGTCTAAAAAAAAGTCTTTTTTTAAAGAATATATGGTTATGATGCAGTTGCACTTGAGATAATTATTTGACTGAATGGATGAATCTTGTGGCTTTTTACTTTCTTGTGTTGTTCATTTAATGAATAAATGTTGCACTTGGATCCACGACATCTTATTATGGTACAATTTGTGCATATATTTATATGATACTGAAAAAAAATGTGCAAGCACTATTGTAATAAATTGGTGCATCAAAAAGTGGACATAATACTCTCAAGCATCTGGATTACACCAAGATGAGATCCCCTTTAGTTCTGCTTGTTTAACATTCTGCCTGTCTAACATGCTGAGTGGATGCATGCTGAGTAAAGCCAGACAAAACAGCTACACGCACACAAAGCTTTCTGCCCCTTCTTTCCTCAGCTGGCTATCATTATCTCAAATATTTCACCCATGTTTCCACCTGACGAGCGTGAAACCACAAACAACAAAGGCAGAACTTTTCTACAAGTTCAACACTTTCTATTGATGCAGGAGCCAGAGCCCTTTTTAATAGGACGTGCTTTTTGTTCAGTTACAAACTCCAAATGTGAGGGCATAGTATGTGTGTGGGAGCGTGTGTTCTGCAGATTTTCTTTGCCAACATGAAAGACATTTAGATCTATAGAAAGATTTGCCTGGAAAACAAACACGAAGCACCCATACAGAGCCAGTGAGGTCCTCCAGCTGAGTGGCGTCACATGCAGACCTCTACAGTGTGTGATTACCATCAGCCTGTACCACCCATCACGCCACATACTGTTGAGTCCCTGCGAAAGCTGATGTCCACTTTCTGATGGTTACAAGATAGTCAAGTGTGAGATCTGACAGTGGGACGACACAGGAACAAAGCAGTGGCGGACATACTCGCCTAACCCTCCTCCTCTACCCGGCTGACCAGCATCAATTTGCTGCAGACATCCTTCCCTCCTCTTCCTGTCCCCGCCTCTTTATGATAAGGACCGTAGTTGACAGTTACATCAGGAGGCGTGTGTCACAGCCTCATTTATAAAGCACAAAGGCCATGAGTGAGCTGTGACTGTCATGGTGTATACTCAGAAACACAGACTCTCTTTCACTGGGCGGCACTGTGACGGGGCAAATGTCACCCCTCATTGATATGCTTGAATCCAGTAGCCAATAGCTTTCCATCACTAATTATCAGATTCAGAGTGAAGTAGGTCAACATTTACTAAATCATCTCAGAAGGCTTTTCTAAAAAAGAATTATTCAGGAAACAGCCAACATCTTATAAATAATGTCTCATTTTGTTATTGAGGCTTAAACTCGCTATGAATCGAAACTTGTTGCATACAGAAGGAACTAAATTCGTCTCTCGAGTGTGCATAGTCTCACAGAAGTCTGAGGAACCAATGCAGTGACCATGGCAACCTTATTCAAGCCACAACAAGAAGGGTTTTGTCCTGATGGGTCACTTTGCTGAACCCTACTACACAAACATGCAAGCACACACACACACACACACACACACACACACGGAGAGAGAATCCAGTCTGTTTTAAACTTTTCCCAGGGTGCATGGTGTCCCTGCATGGGGAGTGTTTACAGGACGTTATCTATGTCAATGCCGGCCCCTCATCCCTCTGAGTGGGTTTCTGAGGAATGTTGGAACAGGATGGAGGAGTTCCAAAGGGGGGAGTGACGATAGAGAGACAGACAGACACCGGGAGAGAAAGAGAGAGAGAGGGAGAGGGAGAGAGGGAGAGAGAGAGTCTATATATACATCCCAAGGAGGCTGGTGCTCACAGGCACAGCTGGACTGCTGGATAACTGGACTGTAGCCCACTGGATATTTAGCTAGAAAGGTGAGTTCTTCTTCTTCTGCTCTAATTTTTGCATCTCCATCATCTCCTTTACCACTTTACCATCATTGGTAGTTTTCTATAAGATGTAAACCTGAGGGGGTGGGGGGGGGGATATTTATTATTTAAATGATCAATTGTGCAATTTTTCTCACAATTCCTAAAGCTGGCCTTGATTAGAAGCTTTGAGGAAGTGAGATTTTTTTTAAATCCTCAATTTCCTTAAAAGTTATAGTTTTTTTTCTCCAGAAAAACCCCAAATTCAAATGAAATGCCAGGGCTAGAGATGAGTCTTTGGGGGATGTGGTCTTGTTAAGGACTTTCGTATGTGGTCTCTTTAAAAGCTCTGTAGTTCTGTAGCAAAGCATGTCAAGAGGAGAGCAGTGTTTGATCAAGTGCTGTGTAGGACTCGCCTTTTTTTCCCTTCACAAAATTACATTTTACTTTTTGTGTTAAAAGAAGACAAACTTTTTGGGGGGTGTTTACAAAGGAAGATATTTTCTAGCACAAACCAAGACTCAGTAAGTATTTTCTTTCACTTTTATTCTTTTACTTTCTTAGAATGGAATTAATTCTGTTGTGTAAATCAAATTTTGAATGGTGCACTTTTGTTATTTTCATCAGCTGGTTCACACAGCAATGTGGAAAAATTGTAAACGCACTGATGGCATGTGTCTATATAAAGTGAATCTAATTAGTGCGGTGATAGAAAAGGCTGTAAAATGACACCACTGATCTCATCTCTGCAGCAGTTATTGGTGAGGCTATGTTCTGTGGTTACATGTGAACTTGTAAATGTCTCTTTTTTCATACCAAACCTTCAAAAACATGATAATTGTATTTGATTGGTTCTGATTACACAAGGGCTGTAATGATGAGGGAAGTGTGATTTCATTATTGAACAAGTGCAGTGGTGAGGATTTTCTTCTTTCAAACCAGGGTGTGCCCTTTTCTGAACGGATATGGGCTCCAGGGAACGACAAAGTAGTTAGGTCATCTCTTTTGCGTATTTTACACTGAAAACCGTACTATCGTTACTTGTAAATCCCCATCTTTTCCCATGTTGTGAAAATCTGTGTTTGCTTTGGGTCTTGGCTATTGTTAAAGCAGTAAAAATGACATCCCAAAAGGCCAATACTGCAACGTTGCACAATACTTCACGTCATAATTCATGAGTACACACACCATGTTTGATATTTGTTCTGAATTTCCATCCATGTGTGCCTCATTTATGTACTTCCATGAGCCTGTTTGATAAGTGTCAATGCCACCAAGGCTTAAAAAAAGAGTCCCTGTCATTAACTTAGGCTCTAAGGGCGCGGCATGAAACTGGATGCCTACATGTGCTGACATGACCTGCTGTTTGCTTTACTGTAGGGTTTTGCTCATCAGGAAAATGTCCTGTGAGAAAAAAATTACTTAATGTCAGCTGATTACACTGGCTTTGCCAAATGTACCTGAAAAAAGAAAAAGGGCCCTGTTTTCTGAAATGTCATAAAATCCCAGTACAATGAACTTTACAAGGGTTTCATGTTTCTTCTTCTTTCAGGCACCAGCAAGGTCTCTGGCCGTGGAAAACAAATTAGAGTAATTAGTGTGAAATATATATTACAAAGATGAACAGTGTGGCAGATTGGCTCGTACAGAACAGGGACAAGATCGAGAAAGGTGTGGAGATCATGGGGCAAGCCTCTGAGGTACTAGCTGCCACTGTGGGCCAGCTTCACCCTGTCTTGGAGGCTGTGTTCGTGGCTTCAGCCGAGATACTCAGCAACCCGGAGGGCAAAGAGGCCCGCTACCTGACTCAGCAATTCGAACTGGTCAACCAGCAACTTGAGGGAATCCAAGATGAGATTGATAAAATTGCTCTGGAGCTACAGAAGACGTCCGTGAACAAGCAGAACTTTGATCGAGAGGCGCAGATGCTCAGCCAGTATGAAAAGTTCCAGGACTTTGTCAACGCCAAGCCAAAGTTCAAAGAGAAGAAGATGAAGAAGTTCATCAGCCATTATGAGAACACTGATGGTGACTTGAACTTGGACGCCCTCTACAATGCTGTCACTGGGGAGAACACCTCAGGAGACCCTATGCTGGAAACTGTAGTCACCACAGAGCAGAGAAGCAGAAGGGCAGTAGAGGATTTCTGCGCACGGCTGAAGAAGCTCTTTGTGGTTGGGATTATTGCCGTCATGGGCCATGCCGCCCTCAAGGAAGGAGCGGTGGGGGAGGAGATGGTGAAGAAGTGGCAGGGACGGATGGAGGATGTGGAGAAACGTATGAAAGCGGCTGTGGATGACTGTACAGAGAACTTTGCAGATCAAGCCAAGCTGGACATGGAGCACCTGCTTCGGGAGAATCCTGGCACTGTCAACCGCGACTTCACCAAATCCCTTCTGGATTCACTAATTAAGAAATACGACTGGGTGAACTGGTCCATCAGGGCCTTCAGCGACAGGGAGCGCATTTTCTTTTTCAACTGGCTGGCAGGAAAGAAGTACCATGGAAGTGGAGGGGCCAACTGGTTCGACATTTTGACCGACAACAAGATCAAAGTGGTGGTCTCTTTCTGTGTTAACCCCACGCCCATCAACAAGAGTCAGATCCAAGAGCAGATTGAGAGCCAGAAGCTAAAGGGGAACATGATGGGAGTGGCTCTGTCTTTGAGTAAGAGCTTCCCCAACTGCCTGGTCCATGCTGTCAGCCATTACAAGGAGGTGGTGGAGATCAACAACTTCCATGAGGATTGTTACTACTATGGAAAACACAAAAGAGCCTACCTGTGTATCCATCCCGAGTAGGCTTACAGAAAAACATGAAGTCTAGCTGCATACAGGAAGAAATGAGCTACAGATAAATTCATGATTGTCATTGCCAGAAACCTGGAAATATTTGCATTAAATATAGAAATGTATTCATAAATATTGTCAGTGTTGAAGCATAATCTGCTATGTCTGGTTTCCGGTGATTCATTGTCTTACTTGTATTGATTTTTATTCTTTTACATATAGATCTTCCCTCTGTTGATCATACAGCAGCTTCAGGGTGTTAAAGAAATTTCCGAGCCATACATCTCAATGCCAGCTTTGACTTAGCCTTATGAAAATTATAATAATTCTGGGATAATATTAGGGTTGGGCGATATGATGATATTAATCTGTTAGCTGCCAGAGACTTTGCCATACTTTTATACCAAAGTACATGTCCTATTTAACCCTTTCAACATTGCTGTGTCAGACCATTGTGGGAAATGCTGTAAATCAATGAGCGGGACTACTTTATGCTGTTATTAGATGGGGTGCAGTAGCCAGATTTGTCAGTTTGGATTTGCCTAAAATAAACAAATATATATGAGCAGTTCATTTTTGGCCATTTGAGAGCCAACTCAATCTGCTGATGAGGACAGCGTGATATGGTCAAAAGCTCTAGAACAAGCAAGTAATTGGACCTTGAGCTGAGATTGTTTTGCCATTTAGTTATTTTATCAAGTTTCTCAGTTGATCTACACAACATCTATATCACAAGACAAATTAATGATATATACTCTGGTCGAGGATTATTTTCATATCGTCCACTCCTAGACATAAATGCTTATAAAGAAAAATCTATTCTAATATTTTTGCTGCTTTTGGTGCAAGCTATTGCTAAAATCCTTAGTGTACAATCACTTAATCAAGATACTTATGTATATTTTACTTTAATTTGTAATAAAAATATAAATGTTTTTGTCATTATTGTTGCATTATTTCAACGCACTTTTGAGGTAGCCTAAAACTTACAACAATTATTGAAAGCATAATTAAGCATCATGTATAATATTCTAGTGACTGTATTTCTACTCAGAACAAATTCAAACAGTCTCCATCAATGGTAATACTGCTTTCATAAAACATGACATTGTTTATTAAATGGGTGGAGGTTGAGCTGTAATAATATCGCCACCACAGTAACAACCTATTATGCTCACAACTTTTTTTCCCCTCCACCACCCAAGTTTCTTTTTGTTTTTTTATTTCTGTATGACTGGGTGTGCCACTCCTCTGTAACATGAGAGCCACATGACCAATAGGAAGACAAACAGTCTGGAAGTTAGTGTATTTCTTCCGCAAACTTTAAAAGGTGAGTCCATTTCTGTTCAAAATACTTCATAGTGGACATTCATAGTGGACATGGGCACATGCCACATTAAGTCTAACTGCATGGTGGTTATGGACACTGTAATAGGAAGTGATCGAATCGACTTCATTCCAGTCTCTCGTTACATAATCGAGCTTCTATTTTTTTTAAACTTTTTGTCGCACTATGTTGCTGTTAAAATGTCAAATAGCCTACGCTTACAGATTTTGTTAACGCAGCCTCATTTAATAAAGTGAAGTGGGTCATTAGATGAATCTGCAAAATGCAATGCAGTTTAAACAAAAAGTGTCTACTTTTATGGGCGTTGGTTGCCAGCTTCGGTGCCACCGCTTCATTTATTCCAGGAAGTGTCAAACTTTTTACAGGCGTTTGTGTTGTGTTGTAACAAAAACCTAATCTGTGGCGTTAACCTGCGATGTTTGTTTAGCATGTCGGCTGTAAAATGATACAATTAGAGCCCTCGTACAGGGACTGATCAATACATTTTCCATTAAGAGAACGCATTAACAGAGCGTTTAGTTTTTTCTCTCAGTGGCCAGTGGTCAGCTGTCAGAGCGAGGGGGTTGGTCGTCTTTGCGTTCAGAGGAAGCTCTAGGCCCATAACATAAATGAAACATGAACTATTTGAACTCTTTCAGAGTAATTCTGTGTGTTCTTTTTGCCGTAGATGGCAGCATGCACGTGACTTGTTTCACTTCAGTTTATTTAGGGTCTGTACGTTTCTTTACTTTTTTTATTACCAGAGGTGGAAGAAGTACCCACAGTTAGAGTAAATGTAGCCTACTTTAGCTTCTTTCCACCACTTATTACTTTATACTGAATATTAGTGGAAATATTAGTGAAAACAAGACTTGTTATGCTTTTCTGTAGCCTGGCATTCATATCTCTGCAACTGTAGCTACACCTCCAGTTTTGAAAATATGATTTCTTGTAGCACTTTTATGTTTGAATTGTCTGTGAAGATGCACTCAGACTGCAGTTACATAACCCTTGGGAGCCTGAGAGAGATAGAGAACACAAATGGAAAACAGGAATCACAATTTTAGCACAGTCAAATCAAATAAGATACATCCTGCTGGAATTTCCTGTTCTTTGTTGTTTTTATTCTCAAGTCTTACAAGGAAATTATGCAGATATTACATATTTTATATCAGGGTCATAGCAGATATAGAGCTTAATGGTGCTCATTTAAAGGTATAGATCGGCCAATTTGAAAAAACTTGTTTGCTTTCTTGCCGTGATTCACACCACTCTGATGTCTGTCCATTAAATATGAAGCTACAACCAGCAGCCTGTTAGCTTAGGTTATAGACTGGAAACGAGCAGAAACAGCTAGCCTGGCTCTGTCAAAAACAAAAAAACACCTACCAACAGCACCATTAACTCTTACTAATGATATCTAGTTTGTTTTATCTGTACAGAACCGGAGGGTAAAATGAAAACTGTTCCGTGTTGCACATAACCCCCATAACCTCAACGAGCTTATAAAATTTATTTTTGTCAAATTCAACAAAAGAGCATGTTAATTTTGATGAGTTGTATCCACTCTTTATGCTAAGCTAACACTTGGAAAGACAACACAACTCTCAGCAAAAAACAGTAAATAAGGGCATTTCCCAAAATATCGACCTATTCCTTTAATTTTGGAGACATCAGACAGACCTTTGTTCAGATCTGTAGATCCATGTTGCAATGCATTCACCATTGAGGACATCCTTCTTGTATTTGGATGCCTGCAGATGTGTCTGACCACTGCAGAAGTGTGTGGTGCATCAGGCTGAGAAATGGTTGCTATCTTCATCTTCTGCAATCCTCTGCAGTCTAGCTAGATAAACCCCACAGAGCAGACCTCAGCAGAGAGATGAACGAGCTGACAGATTAGTTTCCATTGGCTTGTTGCCGTGGTAACTTGCTGAGTTTCACTGCAAAACGCACCCTTGCCCAGCAAGTTTAACATCTTACACTTAATCACTTCCCACGCATGCTGCTCCAATATTGACTGGGCAGGGAGAAACAACACTGCTGCTTCTCCTTCAGCCACAGATTAAAAACTGAATGTGAGCAACTGTCTGAAGGCCAGAAACCTGGATTTAAACATGTGAAGACAGGTTCAGTATCTTGATCTGCCTCATAGACCATGAATTTGAGACAGTGTGTGTGAAGCCAGTGGATGACTGTAACCAAAATTTGATTTCCACCCAAATTACACATGTCCAGTTTTTCAAAAGGACATGTCTGAACATGCCCAGGAAAAAAGTCTGGGCTGCTCTTACAGTCAGCTTTTATGTTTCCCCGCTTTTGGGAAGAGATGTTTGTGTAAGATTAAGTTTCTCCGTGCAAAATGAAAGACAGCAAGTATTTTCTTTCATACCAATAATCATCTAAAATTACTGTATATTTGCTTCTAAACATTTGTATTATGTTAGGATGCAGCAATTATTTACAGAATAACAAGAGACAGTTTGAGAAAACAATCCTAACTCAAAGTCCACTTAATAGCCTTTCCCAGACCTTTTAACCATTTAACACCCATCTTCATCTGCAGATAGAGTTGGCTCAGTTGTTAGGAGAGTAATCTGTTGATGTGAGCTCAGAAGCATTGGGTGATCCCATGTTGGCTTAAAGTTAAATGTTTTGACTATGCTTATTCGCTTCTTAAAGAGAGGTATATGAAAAGACTGATACTACACTCTTGTCTGCCTGTTAAATATGAAGCCACAGCCAGTGGTCAGTTAGCTTAGCTTAGCATAAAGACTGGACACAGGGAAAACACCTAGTCTGACTCAGTCCAAAGGTAACAAAATCTGATGCATAAAAAACATTCATTATCATTTTTAAACTATGATTTTTGGTTTTATAGGTGCTGGTAGGCTGACTTTTGTATATTCTCATCTAACTCTGTGCAAAAACCAAAGAAGTGTTTTTCCCAAAATGTCAGAAAACTATTCCTTTAAGCGTGAAAGTTCATTATTGACCTATACCTAGTATAGACAGATTGCCTGAGAGGGAGTTAGGAGAGATAGTGGCACTTATCATTTAATCCACATAATTTATCTTTTGCAGGACATTATTTGACCGTAACTTAATTTTTTCTAGTTTGGTTTGAAGTCAGTCAGTTCTCCTCCATTTTGTCTTCCAACTAGTCATTCTGTACTAAGAGAAATGGTGCATTGCTTGTTTAAGAATAGCTACTCCCCTTTGGCAATCTCGTAATGCCCACAATGTAAACTTCAAAATTTAGGTGATCCCTAAAAACTGTTCATTTAATAAATAATAATAAATACAAACAGTTCAACCAATTGCGGCCTTCTGTCACTGCTGAATTCTCTTTGCATTGTTGACTCATTGCTCACTGGGTGTGGCCAGCAGCTAGCACTGAAGCTCACTTGGCTGTTTCTGTCTTTCCTTATCAGTTTTTGCTGTGTTTTAAGAGGAGCCAGCGAGTAGGCCACAGTCCAACAGCACTGGTAAAGAACTGTAAGTAAGTTAAGAAAACTGTCTACTATCAGTAAAACTGAAATGGCTGATACTTTCTGCCTTATTATTGTTCAGTTTTTTTAGTCTGTATTTTCACTTTGTTGTTCACTTTGTTAAAGGGATTTTTAAGCAAGTAAACGTTTAAAAATCAGGACCAATTTTGAGTATTTCTAACCATATCAATATTTTTTTCTTGCTAGAATCAGACTGAGAGACATATGCAAAGATGGCAAACCAGCTCCAGCAGCTTGTAGCAGAGAAGAAGGATATGGTGGAGACTGTGATGGAATTGTTTGAACAGGGAGCTGAAGTGGTGGCCAGTATCGCCGGTGACCTCTTCCCCGTTTTCTCCATTGCTGCTCCAATTGTTAAACTGGCTCTGGACAATGTGGAAAGCAAAGAGGCGGTATTCATGAAGGAGCAGTTCCAGAAGGTCCGAGAGCGCCTGGAGGTGGTCTCAGAGGAGATTCAGCGGATCAACGATGAGATCAAGAAGAGCGGACTGGATGCTGTGTATTTCCCACTGGAAGAGAACATCACCAACCAGTTCAGGAAGTACATGGACATCCTTAATGCCAAGCCCAAGTTTAGGGAAGTCAAGAAGAAGCTTTTCCTGGAGCATTTTGCCAAGACCGGCGGTGACAAAAACATTAACACCCTCTACAACTCTGTGACCGGAGAAAACTTCTCTGGGGAATCTGTGCTTGAGATCACCCTGAACTACGAGGAGAAAAGTCGCCGGCCGATGGAGGACTTCTGTGCCAGGTTGAAGAATCTCTTCTGCATCGGGCTTATCGCGCTGTTGGGCCACGCCGCTCTGAAGGGATATGATGAGGAGGAGGCGCTTCTGAAAGAGTGGGGTGAGAAGATGAAAGTTGTCCAGAATAAAATGAATGCTGTCATTGAAGACTGCATCGTCAGCTTCCCCAAACAGGCTGAGCTGGATTCCCGTCGACTGGTGAGAGACCAGTCGGACTTAACCAGCCAGCAGCTAGCTGATGCTATCATAGAGAAACTAAAGAAGAAATATGACTGGGTGGGCTGGTCAGTGCGTATATTCAAGTCTCCTTCAGGCCTGTTCGCCAACAAGAAGGATTACCACTGCTCGACAGGGAAGAGTCGCTTCCAGGTCCCTTCATCAGATGAGAAACTTAACGTCTGGGTGTCCTACAGCTCCTCGGCTGAGCCTGTAGATAAGAATCACATCGAGCAGCTGATCCAGAGTCAGAAGAAACCCACGGTGGTGGGCGTAGCAGAGCTCCTGTTTGAGAAGTTGCCCGGCGACTGCATTGTCCACACGATCAAAACCAGCAAAGACCTGGCCTGCTGCTGGAGCTTCACAGATGAGCTCCACTACTGGGAGGAGCACAAAAACTTCTACGTCTGCGTTCACTCGGCTTGAAGTTTTGGACACTAAAAAAACTCTCCAAAGTCAGTCATTCTATGTTTGTAGGCTACTTCATATTACACGGTTAATCACAGTCTACCGCTGCCTGTCTGCGTGGCCTTAGCACTGAAATATTATATGCCTTAATTTCACCTCTCTTGTAGTCTTTTTTAAAACTGAATTATTTTCTTTTTCTAAGAATGTTTACTGTTAGTTTCTTGCAGACGTGGGGGTGCATCAAAGTGAAGTCAAGTCAATTTTATTAATACAGCCCAACAAAAAAAAAATCACAAGTTTGAAAAAAGGGCCTTTAAAATCTGTGCAGCATACGACACCCTCTATCCTCAGATCCTCAATTCCGGTAAGGAGAAACTCAGGAAGAGAAAAATAGGAGGGATCCCTCTTCCAGGATGAACAGACACAACAGATGTCATGTGTGCAGACTTACACTAGAAAGAAAGTAACATAACTGCATTCTTAAAGTATAATGGCCTTTTTGATCCCATGCAGCTGTGATTTGCTTATTTCTCAGAACAGAAAGAAGAGCTTACTCCTTTTTTAGGCTGTATTTTATCTCAGTATCTCTTTTTGTAATGAAATTAGTAAACTGTTTATTGTAATAATCTACAACTTGAGGGTTGCAGAGAAATTCTGGTGTAAGATCTATATTTTCTTCTGATCTATATTTTCTACTGTCGCTATAAATTTCAGGGGGACGTGGTTGTTTTGTTTCAGTGGGACACGTTGGGAAAGTTGTTGAGAGCTTAGAATCCGGCTGCAGACAGAGATTATGTTTTGCCGGTAGTGATAAGCGTTGACCTCGCCCTGTTGACGACATATATACCAAAGTCATGAGAGAGAAAATTTTCATTTGACAAAAATAGTAAACCTTGTTACTGCCTGCTGTGCAGCACAAAGACTTTTGTCTCTTGTGCAAAGAAAGCACAAGAGACAAGGCCTTATTTGCATAGTGAACTGGTACCCATGAAGCTTTATTTACACACCTCACCATAAACATGCCAAGGCTTAGTGACAGCAACACTTTGTTTACATACAGATGCCTAGCATAGATATTCTTGTGTTTCATCTTTACCTGTGTGGTTGTGTCACACAAACCAGACAGTTGTACTTGCTCAAAACTTTAGCATCAAAACTTTATACATTATGTTGTACTTTTACACAGGATTTACTTTTAAACAAGAATAAACAGTTAGTGGTATTTAGGACTACGTAAATTTAGGGATCTGTTTTTGACATTTTGATATAAATTTGTACAAACTGACAATGACATTGACACTACATTTTAATAGCTAAGTTGACTGTGCAGAAAGATTCTGTTTATAATCTTAGATGCCCCCTCACCTGTTTTGATCATTTGTGTTGTTGTTGTACGCCACTGTAATCTGTGTTTCTTTTTTTGTTTGTGTATGTGTTGTGTTTGTGTTATTAACTATTTGAAAATGTCATTATCTTACCAAAACTTTCCCCATATTTACTCTAAAATTAATGAAAGAAAGTGTTGCACTTTTGTTTTATATTATATGTATTTCCAAACAGTATATTTGGGTTGTTAGTGTTCCAAATTCAAAATCTTGTTGGTAAATCAAAGCAATCAATGTAATAAATCTTCACTTTAAACTCGTACATCATCTGTGTATTTTTGTGAATGTTTTGCAGTTTGAGAGGTGAAATCAAGAAATAACCAAAACACCTGAAATGACCCCAACTGATTTAAAATACATTCAAAACTACTAAATTGCAGTGTTATTTATTTATTATGTATTATATTATGAGTGGTCAAAAAAAGGTTGAATAAAAAGAAAGACTAGGACACCACTAAGCCTTTCCACATGATGAAGATGGGTGTCTTGCTGAATCATCCATGTTGCAATATTAAAAAGTCAAATTTGAGTGCTGTGCTAGTCTTAATTTTTTATTATTACTACATAAAGGATCCACCATCAAATCTTTGAGGTCTAATTGTAAGTTCAGTGCGTTTTGTCTAAATCTTTCTATGGTTAAAAGAAGAACATGTGACATGCGGGTGCAATTATTTGTGGTTACAGTATGACACCCGTCAAGGGTCACTTTCACAGATAAACAGCTGACATTTGTTTAGTTACCAGAAATCGAAAGAAGAAATAAGTACTACATCAAATTCCGTCTACTGATGTTGCGTTGAGCAAGGTACCACCGAGTTAACACCGAACTCTTCTGTGAAGAAAACTTACAGCTTGGAATAAAAAGAGAAAAGGATAGTATGGTTAGCAAGTTTGGAAACACCCATAGTGCTCTATAATTATGTGGTTGTGGCTTTTCTATCTTCGGCGTATAAAGACTCATGTCCCGGCAGTACATCACACTGGCGGGTCAAGTGTCTCAACCGAAATGAACAAGTGCAAAGGAAAACAAGTGGGTCAAAGATTGTTGTCTAGTTTTATTTTTCATTAGATTTAGATATAGATTTCTTGGATTGGACATAAAGAGAAGGAAAAGTCACCAAAGGCTGTGAATCAACATGGATGTATAAACGTTCAAATTGCAATATTTGTATTTTACTATGTTGACTTTCGTTTTGATCAAAGAAGGCAACATCTCCTACCTATATGGATATGTGATCACTCAAGCCTCTATAAAGGCCAACACAGTGAACTCAAGCTAAATGTGACCTTTGACCTTTCTCGGTAAAATAAAAAGTCAAATAAATCACATTTACAGTGAAAGAGGTATTTTTACAGTTCATCACAAACCATATAAAGAGATGTTAGTCTTCTTCATTGTTCCCAACCCGACCCGACCCAAGCCTGCTCGTCTGCATCCCCCAACAGCTCAAGAGATCGACATGTTGGGTCACAAGACAGACACATTATCTCTTCCAAGTCATCACATATGGATGCTTGGTCAAGACCCCTTGGTGTCACTTTTTAACGCACTGGTTACCCTTTAGCACCGCTGCTGGACGCTCTAGGCTCCGTGGTCAAAATAATAAATACGCAATGTCCAGTAAAACTTGAAACGCTCACAGTTTGGATAGGTTTAGGCACTTGATCCACCCGTCCTCCATGACCATCTACATACGTGGACTTTGTTGCACCTGATGCTGACCTGGCATATGCTTGTAGTGTTGAAAAATTACTCTAAAGGGGTACATACCCACATGTGGCAATTTGAGGGAGAGAATGGGTTGAGAGAAAAAACTAGTTAGGAAAGACAAAAAACAGGTTTATCTTGCCTTTTCTTTTTTCTTGTGAAATACTGGTTAGTTGTACTTTTTAAGGCCTAAATTATTTACTCTGAGGAGGTAAAACTCACTATTCGTTTAAAATGCTCACAGCTCATCGAGACATATAACTTCTGACAAACAGTCATGAGTTGATTTGCCTTGTTTATGAAGGTGTTAAGCCACAAAGTCTAGGAACCTGTGGTCTAGTGCCATAGTCCTCTCTGTATCTGCATCCTCCCACAGGAGTTCATGTTCAAGGTCATTTAATTTTTTTATACCTTTTATCACATACAAGTCTCAACAGACTCAAATTAGATTTTCTTTTAAAAAGAGAAAAGAGACCAGTACACAAAGAAAAGAAAAACTTGACTGGAATAACTAATAAATCCCTTAAGGAAATTCCCTGAAAGAAATGCAATAGATGCAGAAAAATCAAAATGAACAATCACATGGAATGACATGGAATTAAAGCTAATCCGGCAGGAGAACAGAAACCCAAAGGAGACGTGGGATTTTGGCCCATGCCAGCATAAAAAATGTAAGGCTCAGGAGGCAGAGCGGCCTTCTAGTAATGGGAAGGTTCCTAGTTCTAAGTTTCCTTAAACAAGACACTGAACCCCTAACCACTCTTGATGAGCAGACTCTGCCATCAGTGTATGAATGTGTGTGTGTGTAAATGTTGGCATGTGTTGTAAAGCACTTTGAGTGATCAAACGCTATATAAATGCAGTTGATTTACCAAATTTGGCTTGCAGAGACAGACCTTGTTGTCTGGATACCTGTGTGCCAATGGAACAAGACTGAGGCAGAAGGAATTCAAAGTTTCCCTTTGCTTCCTAACGAAGCAAATCTCTCACAAGTGCTTTCCAAATTTCCACTGGCAAGTGACCCAGTTACATCAATGCTCACTGAGCTAAGACCCACACACTGCTTCATCTGCAACTTTGAGAAAAAAAGATTACAGAAAATGAGCCTGAAAATTATCAACACTGTCAAACATTGGCAAACATTTGCGATATGGGCAGACTTTTAAGAATATACGGGATATATTTCTAACCTGAGATTATCACCCTTTAGGTTGATAAATATGGCTACCCCGTTGGTAAACAGTTGTTTATTAGCACATCCAGCCGTTAAAGAGAAACATAAGTAATATGGAGTTGTGTTTGTATCCACATGATCAATGTAAGTCCATTATTCACTCTCTTTTAGCTCAGTTTTTGGTCACTACCACTCCTCAGGGAAAACATCTGTAGCTAATTTTTAGCTAATAAATGCCCCACTATGTTCACCAGCCTGTTGCTAACTGTGTCTGTCTGGTGTTTGGTGCTGAGCAGGTAATATTCTGTGGGTTTTGAGAGCTTATTCTCTGAAAACAGCTGCCCACTGACAGACATCCACACTATGAGAGCAGGGAGTGAACCAAAATGCCCATGATTTAACACTGTTCCTTGACATCGACCTTGCAGGAATGATAATAGAGTCAATGGGATCCATAAAGAGAACAATAGACAATATCAAGACCTTGACTATTTCAAAGTAAGCAAAAAATAACAAAGGCTATCGTAAAGACACACAGAAATGAGGAAAAAATGAGGAAAAAATGAGGAAAAAATAACGCAACTAATGAGCCAAATTGAACCCATACTCATCTAAATGTATGCTGCAAACAATGTGAATTTAAAGAAAACATCTATGTAGGAGTAAAGTTACAGAACAAAATATAGAATAGAACTAAAAGAGTCAAATATGTTCCAGTTTTTGCTGTGATCCTAGCTCTGTTCCCCTTCTGTACGCAAAGGCTACTACAGGCCGCTTTCTGCCTACACCCAGGTACGTTAAAGGGGTTGCTGACACAAAACATTTGAATAGGGGAAGTGATGCTTTTAATCAGACCAGAATTACTCTTCCATGAATATGATTTGGCCACACAGCCCTGCATTGAGCCCGGCCCATCAGGTGACCTCAGGAACGCAGAAAAACATCACGTGGCAACGAAAAGATTCGGCCGCCTTGCAGGAATACATTGTACTGCCACCCGTCACCTCAGTGTAACCCTCAACTCTTCCTTAATTCAGTCTCAATGGAAAGAGCAGTCATTTTGGTTAAAAAAGGTAGTCACATATTTTAATCAGATGGTGCAGGTCAGATGATGCGTGGGAGGGGCTAAGTTTATGAGATGCATCATCTGCTCAGCAGCTTCCTTTAAGATTAGGAAGATGTTGCATTTTTATCATGAGGAACTCAAAATAGTCTGTTAATGCTGAAGAAGACTTCAAAGAAAACCCAATGAAGTTAGTTGCTCCCTTGTAGAGCCCATGTTTGAATCTTTGATCGTTCTTTGAAGGACTTCTTTGTGGGTCAGCTACTGTAGCCTACATCCAAACTTATACTTGATTATTTTAATTTTGACCAATAAATACTGTATGCTGGGAATTGTTTTGTGGGTTGTGTTTTATATTATGAAAGAGTTTCCAGTGGAAGAGAGATCAGCTGCCCATGTCAGAATTACACCTCAGAGAGTATTCCTAAAATAAAAAATAAAAAGCACACTTCCTTTGTTACCACAAACTGTGGTAGTTAGCTGTTGCATACTTTGTCTTTCCAGCTGTTGCATCAATGTTGCTTGAAAGCGGAAAAGTGGAGCTTTTAGCTTTATTGGATAATGCTCTTGACTAGTAAAAATGTGGTAATCAACGTCTGTCCTTCATTTAAATGCCCTGATATCTTACGCAAAACAAGTCATAAAGCTGATCCACAACTTGCTCGAACAAGCAATGACCTTGCTATGCACTACAAGGAACACACGGTGCCAATACTTTGTTTATATTTCCATACAGTTTTGAAGTTGGCTACACCTAAAGCTGTTCTACAGTGCATCTTGGCATCTTTCAGCTCATTGTTTTGGTTTTTATGTAGAAATATGTCACTGCTGTCTACAGTTTGCTGCACTGCCACTATGTGGCCAAAAAGCAATGATTCACCAAGGGGTCTTGACCATTACAGAGTTTCAGTCTGAATTTTGAAAAAACACAAAAACTCTTAAACCACAAACTTTTTGACTTCTAATCTATGTTCTCAAACACCATGTTTTCACTCTGCACCTCTGATCCTCTGTCCTCCCTCTTCACATACCAGTGTCTGGGCAAGACCTAACAAGCTTATGTGGCATTGCCATTGGACTAGGTGTCAAAGAAAATACTCTACTTTAGAGGTGGTTTCACACTTTGGTCTGGTATTGTTTTTTAAATGTAACCTGAGGCGTCTTTTAGATCCTTTCATACTGCTTTAAACAATGTACGAGCAATGACTCCTTTATCTGTTTTGCAATATAATAAGAAACAATGACACCAACACAAACTATGCAAAGCCTTCAGTCATCATCTCCACCTCTTTAGTATTTAAAATAACTCCTGACTGGTTTCTCTTCCATTATGCAGCCAACCAAAATGAAAAAAAAAAGAAGACACACTGTGACTTGAAGGTGGCCCATTTGATTTCCAGGAAAACATGGAATAAGTCGCTCGTAAAATTTTTGCCAAAGTGCTCTTGAGCACCTTTTCTGATGCAGTTTATCTGTGGCTAACAGTTAACTAGTGCTGTTCTGGTTAATTAATTAGTATTTTTAAACTTTATTTTATTTAACAAGAGCAAGCTTTCTTTTACAGAAACACTTTTAGCACTTGCACATTTGAATCTATCACATGTGAAGCTAATTTAACATGTTTATCACACATCCTTTCACATCATACCAACACTTAGGATTTTTCTTGTTTTGTTTGGAAGTGAAAAGTAAGAAATCAAATGTAAAAACTATTTTACATATAATATCTAATGTGAAATAGCATTTCTCATGTGATGAATTTACATATATGCATTTGAGGTATTTCCACAGTATGTAAATATCATATTTCATCTATTTCACACTTAGGGAGTTGGGGATTAAGTGCCTAGTCATGGGCCCATTAGTGGTGGTAATGAACATAGATTCATCCTACTGGGTTTGAACCAGCAACCTTCAGTTCACAAGTCAGCAGCTATACATTTTGGCCAACACTGCTTAAAAGTCAAATAATAATAAGTGCTTGAAGGAAGTTCAACTTTTAGATTTCCTTTGTTTCTCAATCCTGTGTTTTGAATTTGTGGCATTGGGAGTTGTACCTTTAAATACAGGTTACGTAGACATCTTACGCCTCATCATTCAGGATTGATAATACATGAAAACACAGACATACCTGTGGCTCTGCCTTAAGCCACTGTTTGTGTATTGTGTAACAAGAATTTAACATGAATCAACAAGTACATTCGAGGCACCTGCTGTAGGACGCACAAAAATAGGACAGGTGCCTCTGTCATGTTCAAATATTTATGGGTCAAAAGATTCAACTCGAATAAAACTCAATTCTGAAAAAAGTCGGACTACATAAAAGTTAACTTCTATTCTTATGTGTACAGGAAGTTACAGACACATTAAAGATTTTGTTTGTCTTTGAGTGCCCAATAGTTTCCCAGAATCCCACAATTTCATCTCAGCTCAGTGTTGCCGTATTAAAACTAAAAGTATTAGAATAATCTAGGATGGAATTTGAATTTGAGTGCTCTAAATTCACCAAATACAATACAGGCCATACAGCTACAGTAACCTCAGACACAGTTGAACAAGGATAATATGCAAGGCCACTTGGTACACACAGACTAATCCTTCTCTCAGCCATAACAAACTGATAATAACTGTTAGCATTTATTGTTTTCTTTTGTAAGGATAGATAGAATGACGTGATCTGGTATTCTTTATGATTTTGGCACACTTTGAGTTGTTGCAAATCCTATAATACATTTTTTTGTCTTTAATTAAATTTAATGCTCTGTCAACACATCCACCTCCAACATTCCTCTCATTTAACATTCATATTGCATGCAAGTCAAGTTTGAGGATGGGATTGTTTGTTCAGAGTGACTGTAAGGAGATTCACAAAATAATGAAACAGTGTACAGACACAAATAAGGTAATAGTTCAGCAGTTAATGTACAGGGATGTGTGTGAATTTAAAAGAATGAGCACCACCTAGTGGCACACAGTTTCATCACAGGGTGAGGCAATTAATCGAATGAAACCACGTGCAGTTTTTATTATTTTGTCCACCATCTTCATTTCAATGAGGGTAGGCTAAATAACAGAAACACATCTCTGTATAATGCAATACAACTCAACAGCACCACAAACTGCAGCCTCTTGTACAAAACTTCATGACAATCCATTTAATAGTTGAGATATTTTAGTCAGGACCACAACAGTGGACCAGAAAAACAATGTAATTCACAGAAAATTCAACAGCCTAACCCATGTATTGTATATTTGGGCAGCTTTCAAAGATTTTACTCTCAAGAGAAAATACTGAAAAACAGAGATAATGAATCAAATGAATGAAAAGACCTGAACCAAAAGTCAAACAATTATAATAGCCAAGATTAGCTAATTTAGTTGTATTGTGGACTTTATTTAGATCAGTGTTGGTGGCTTACCAGCATTTTTTTCAAGCTGTCTGCTAATACTTTGTTTACTGATGTTAGAAATTACCAATGAAAATTCTTGATATCCGTCCCTCGGAATTACAAATAGGAGCCTAACATCAACATTTTTACATCTTTGCTTGTGCACCAATTAAACAAATGACATTCAACATGTTAATTACTGAGCTTTAGAGGTGTTGGTAGGTGTGCATTTGGCTAGCCTTTTCCCCCTGCAGGCTTTATGCTAAGTTAGGCTATACTCACTTCCCCGAGACAGACATATCAACGTTTTCATCTCACTCTCAGAAAGAAAGTGTATTTGCCCAGATATTTCTTCAGTGAAGTGAATAAACAATGTACAGTTTTCACCATTCTTACCACTATTTATTCAATCGTGTTTGCTTTGCAACATTCACCACCAATAGAAAAAATGTTTCATACATTTCCATTCACAAACTCCAGAGTGAATTTTCTTTTTAACATGAATTGTAGTGTCTTACTGAAGTAGTTTTTTTTTGTCATTTTCAGCTGATATATGTTTTAAAAAATTATTACAAGGATTACAAAGATGTGTTGCTTATTCATACTTATTCATCTTTTTGATTGGATGTATTTATTTTAGGCAAGGACTTCCTTCAACACTGGCTGGGTAAGCTCAACATCTCTGCCATCCTGTTGAAACAAGACAAAGTAGCCTAAACTTTTATAAAACACAACAAAGTCGAGAATTCTACAGTGTGAGTCTTTACTAAATATAAACGTTATACCTAATAATAGTGTCCCTACTGCTGTACAAACACTACAGTAATCACTAATCCAATTACCACTTAAACTGTACTCCTACCATGACCACTACGGCATAGATGTTGATTGTCCAGCAGTGAATAGGAAAACTGTGACAAGTACTATTAACAAATACTTTACTTGGATTGTTGTCTTGCGTGTTTGTCTTGGTTCATACCTCTTCCGTCTTCCTATTGACCAGAGCCTTGATGCCCAGAACAGCAAAACTTATGCAGACACACAGCTGGAGAACAGCCAAGACGATCAGCGTAATGTCCATGGCGGTCAACAAACGCTGATACACACAAGAAATAAAAAATAAAACAACAGAAAGAGTTCATTTTGATTCAAATAGGACTTAAAATAAACTTAAATTTAAAGTGTAAGTATTCATTATTCACAACAATGAATTCAACTGTGTATACTGTATCTTATTCCTCTGTGCCATAGAGCTCCATTGTTGTCCATAAATCATTAAAAACACGTCAATGAGCCACACTGTTACATAGATGACATGCTCCTTCATTACCATGAACTCACACACTGCATTTTATTGTGACTCAATCCCACATACACCATCCTGCTGCAGAACATAGGCCTACTCACTACCGAAGCATTATATGGATATTAATTCGCAGCTGAAAATAGTCCCCAACAAACGCTCGATTAACTCCTCTTTGAGTAATTTTTGCTAAAATCTACAGTGTCCAGCTGTTTTAAGAAAAATGAAAATAAATAAAAATGAAACTACGTGTTTGTGAGCTGTCAGTATAGGAACGAAAATCCTTGATTGCATGAGGGTAGAGAAGATGGAAAGTATTGAGAAATGGACAACACATTGTTGTTTTTTTCACAAGATTTGTTGACAATGAGAAAAATAGATCATAAAACCAGCTTTTCCTTTAAAAGTATGCTTACCTGGGCAAGGTACGCCACAAGTCTGCAGTCATCAGCATTGTATCTGCTCCCGTCACACATATTGGTGACAGACACATCGCCCAGGTCTATGGCATATAGCACAACGCCAACGATGGCGGAGATGGACCCGACTATGTTCACAAACACAGCGAAGCCCACCTGAGAGGAAAGATGTATGTTTTCACACAATCAATGAAGAATAACCTCAACAGCTTAAAATTGCCTCTTTGCCACAGTGTTTCATGCTTTATTCAACTGATTATGGTGAAGATGTCAAATCCATTACATTGATCTTAGAAGGCAGTATGTGACTAAGGGTGCTTGTTCAGATATGAGGACATGAGTGCATGTTTGAAAGAGCCTTAAGTCTTTACTTACTAAGCAAAGAGAGGAGTACCGGCCGGCAAGAACAGACATAATTCCGGCTGCGATGAACTGAAGAGAGAACAGCAGACAGCTCAGTAAAATCCATTAAAATTAATAATATTATTTCAGTTGTTATTTAATTTTAAAACATTCTGGTAATTGTGTCTGTTTGGTTAAGCACTACAAAAACATTAGGAAAACAGTTTAAAAGAAATAATAAATAAATAAATATGCTCTTAAGCTAATATTAACACAACAATATTACTTTACCACAACACCCAGCCAGTAAGCAGCTCCCAAATAAAAATCCTTAAAGGCTGTGCTTGTTCGTCCTGGCCCAAGTCCAATGTTGAAAAGGCCCACCATGATTTGTATAGTCTGTAAAAAATTCAAAGCATTTACATCTCATTGTCTTACAACTTAACAGCTTAAGACCACCACTTGTCACCGCAACTGACTAAATACATTAAAATTTTTCTCACCCCAAGAGCTGAAACCACATTGCTCTGCAACAGCCTCTTGTACACTGAGCAGCACATCGGACTGCAGCAAAGACCCCTGAGGATTTGGCACAGTGGTGGGAACATGCTCTGACCATCATCCGCCACCGTGACCACTGTCACTCCCTTGTCTTTGACAACAGTGATGGACATGTCTCACACCTGCAACATGACATGGAGATGACTGGCTAGATAGATGGATAGATACAGTACTTTATGAATTGCACTGTTACACATAAATCACGAAGCAAACTACAGATGTAGATAATTAAAGAAATAAAAACATAAATCATTTTAACATAAGATTTAACTAGAAACTACTCTTTCATTCTAAATAAACACCACACCTGCTAATATTATGTACGTACATGATTGATGCAAGTTTAGTATATATTGTATATAGTCTAGTATTATTAATAATAATACCTTTATTTATGTAGCACTTTCAAAAAAAGCAAACGATAAGTAAAATATTATGATAAAATATAACAAAAGAAAATAAAACTGCGAAATCAATCAAACAAACAGTAAAAACTATAGAGTCATTAAAATTTAAAAATCTATTCTAAGATGGACAGGGAGCCAATGAAACCAGTGAGATGTGTTCTCTCCTGTTGGAACTGGTTATGAGCCTGGCTGCAGCATTTTGAGTCAGCAAGTTGATCGAGGTTTTGTTGTGTGAGGCAGGAAGAGTGCATTCCAGTAATTTTGAATGCATAGGCCTACATGAAATGAATGCATGAATCAATGTTGAAGCATGAATTATTTTCTTGGCAGATGATAATTGAACTGAGTTTCAAAAAAGTTCTTAGTTGCAAGGTACTTGCAAGGTATCTATAAATACACACCCACACAGAAATGTAAAGACACAGGAATATATATGTACAGGTACGTAAAATACAGGTATAATACTGAGATCAACAGTAATATATTGAAAATAATGATTTAAAAATGTAATCTAATTGGCCATTTCTGACATTTTATAGACCATATGATTTATCCATTAGATTATATTGTATGAATTATACCATAAAAGATTTCTTATGGGCCTCAAGACATTTATTATGTCTTGAGGCCAGTATGTAAAAAATAAGAGGTTTTAGATTCATAAACAAAATTCATTAAAAATAAAAAAGGGATTTGTCCTTAGGAGGGAGAAAGTATTGTTTCCCAGACAGTGTATTGTGTTTGTTACCTCAACCTCTTATCAAAAGCTAACACACACAAATAAAGCTTTCACAAAAAAAAGGAGAATTTTGCAACAAAAATGTTCAAAATGATTAAATAAAACAATGACAATATTCATTTAATAACGGTCTTTCCAACTTTTTGATGAAAGTTCACCTCTATCTTGCAGAACTTACAATCCTGTTTATCAATAACAAAATTTCCATATCACCCAGTTTAGAGCTCAACAGGTTTAATTGTAAAGTTCTAATTATTATGAATTATGCGCTGTTTTATTGTGTGCAGAGAACTTACCTGGTTCGTGTAACTGCAACAGTCTGGTTTGCCGATGGTGAGTTCAGGTCGCAGCTATAGCTGCAAGAAAACTGTTGCTTCCTGTCACCGGTTTGATTGCTTCAAAATAAAAGCCTCATAAACAAAATTACCCATCTTTAAATTTTGCGCATTTTTAACAATTTCAAAGGGACATGTCAAAGCTGCATGCACTCATGTCAGCTCTTAGAATTTAAGAAAATACAAAAGGGTTTTTATATTAGCTATTACAAACACTGTATATTCATATCAAAGGCCAATCTAATCTAATCTTGGAAAAAAAAAAGCCTAAGAAAATATAAAAACTCAAAAGTATTTTGTCATGTTTGATAACAGACATATTTAACATTTTTCCTGTGTAGCCTACTATATAAAGTCAAACCATGGTGAATTACTTGCGGTGTACACTACATTCTTATTCTAAGCAGGTTTCTTGTATGTAGTATGAGATACTTATACAACAAGAGTGATGTTTCCTTTCATTGGAAAAAATGTCATAACTGCGGCTCAGTGTGTTTAACCTGTTTAATCCCAAGAACAGTGGTTCTCAAAGTGGGCTCCGGGGACTCCCAGGGGTCCTCAGCAAAAAGGGGAATAGTTTTTTTTTCCACTATAATTCCATCCATAAGTAACAACTATTTCAATCATGGGTTTCATACACTTTCTGTAATAAAACATCTACCAATCTAAACCAATCAAACATACCAATCAGTCTTTCACCCCTCAAAGACCTGTAGGCCTTGCTTCATTGTAAATATCACAGTTATATGACCAAGACAAGTGATGTGAGAAGAACCCTATAGAAACTCATCCATGTTCAGATTGGTTGGCACTATATAGGTATTTGACACAATTAATAATTATTATCCTCAACTACTTTCAATTGCTATATATGTCAGAGGTCACACGCCTCGGGAGCAACTAGACACTGGTTAAGTGTCTTGCTCAGCAACACATTGGCACAGGCACATGCCTGTGATCTCTCACCACAGGCATGTGCCTCAGCCACTGCTCTGTCACCACCTCTCTATTGACATCTCAAACCAATTGGTTCTCTTTCAATTGGCAGTCTACCTATCTGAGCCATCACTGTCATTTTCAAATCCTACTTTTTCAAATGTAGAAATGATCATGATGCTGCACACAGCACTTGGGGGTGGTCTCGTATGTCTAGGAGGTCCAACACATCTGATAGTTTTAAAATGTGTGAAAATAAACAGATGATAACTAGGATCACAGCCAAAGCCTGTGTTTTCAATTGAAGCCCTGTGTTATACTAACGGTCACATTTGTGACCGTTAACAAATTTACACCTCTTACGAGCAAAATATATATGTAGGAGTATACTTCTCAAAACATATCAGTAGTAGACACTTAAAACAATATCTGTACAAAATATGACAATGCTATCTGTTAATTAAGGTGAAGACATCTTCTTCCAGGTGTGCAAGCAGGAAGTAAACTAATCTGGTCATGTGACCTTTTCACACTATTCACATGATGTAGATCAATTTTAATCAAGACAATCTATTTTTTCATTTAAAAGTTGAATTTCTTGCCCAAAGTCAACAATACAACTTTTAGAGCTTCAGAAATAACATAAAGACACTGTCACAAATGTGACTGGTGGGATTAAAGGGTTAAGGATGTCTAAAGTGTTGCTTGTACATCCACCACCTTGAACATGAAATACCCTAAAAGCTCTGGTGATTCAAATGGTAGGTACATCTAAAACATAAAAACCTACACTTTCAGTTACCCCTGGTGGTACCAGTGCACATAGCTTTGTTTTATCTGATGAGATTTTGAGGAATCCCAATCCAACTGAAGTGAATGGAATTTCGTCTGTAAAAAATGACATCTGAAAAACTCCACATCAGTGTCTCTTTGGACCATTTTCACAATTTGACGTGTTTTTATTCAAGAAAGTTTAATTTAAAAATAATGATAAAAACAATGATAGTGTCCTTGTAATATAAAGCAGTTCACTTTCAGCAAGTGTGTGTAAATAGCACAAGTATTATAATGAGGTTCTGATTATTAACCATGCATCCATGTGTTTAGCTTAAATGAGATAAGCACCAGTACTGCTCAGGATGACTTCCTTCATCTGTGGCAGCTGATCTTCAACATCCTGTTTGCACAGAAGAAAAAAAAGATGATAAAGTAAAAAAAATAATCTGAGAATTCTACAATGTGACTCTTTACTGAATTTAACACTGCAAGTATTAAATACTGCACCAGAAATGCAGGTGCTACTTTTATGCCTACTACAACAACTATAGCTGTTATTGCTGCTGTTACAGTTCAATCTACTGAAATACTTGGCTTCACTTTTCTGAATATACCACCTAGCTGTCCTCTAATTCATGTGCACATGTGCATTGTCTTCTTTGTTCATACCTGTTCCTTTTTCATCTCACTGGTCAAAGCTCTGATGCCCAATATAGCCAACCTAATATTGACACAGAGCTGAAGAACAGCCAGGGCGATCAGCGTCACGTCCATGGATGTCAACAAATTCTGATAGATGAAAAAAACATTTTTTGAATTTAATTTTGAATTTATTTTTTTTTAATCAAACTAATATGTGAACTAAGTTTCACACTTGCAATTCAGTGCAGAGACGTTTTCATACTGCCAAACTAGTTGCTCTATTTATCCAGTTGTACTCTCCAGATAGTCATTTGTAAATGCAGAACTGAACCAGCATGTGTTTCACAATGTATTTCCCTACCTGAGAAATTAGCTTAATTTAACACTTTATTGTTAATTAAGGTGCAAAGTTTCCTAAAATAACCCCTGTAGATATTTTCCTTTCATCCACTTGTTTAACATGAGGCTGTGAGACAAATGTCATTTCCATTCTCTGTAAAGACATTGATAAGCTATTTGAACCATCTTGCTGTGTCTTTCAGGGCTGGGGCTGACACAGAATACACATCTTGGGAGCCTGTAGTTTTAATGTCTCTTTGCCTTTCTCGAATTAATCGAGAATTAACTTGGGCCAGCCCACATGTTTTGTTCAGCCTGTTGTTTCCTGTAAATGCTACTTCATACGTCTACTCCTCAACATTTCATTGGGAAATCCTGCACTTTTTATTCCACTATTATTATTTGACAGCTTTAGATACTAGTTACTTCACAAATTATGCTGAAATTAATAGTTGATTAATTGATTAGTCAATTTGGATATTGTTCCAGCTTCACAATGGTGAAGATTTGCTGCTTTTCCTTGTAATTATGTTATTGATTTTAATTTGTTTTTTTTGAGATCTGGGCTGTTATTTATCAAGCTTCTCAAAGTGCCATTTTAGAATTCGAACAGCTCTTATCATGTCTGCCACTGAAATACTTCCGGTTCACTTCACTCAGTTAGGAACCTTCCTGAGCGAAAAAGACTTTTCGAACGCAGCCGGGCTCGGACAGCGCAGGCATAAACTTTGTCAGCGAGTTGGTGAGGGACGTCATCTCATCACTGACTTTACGCAGTAATGCGTATTCAGTGAAACTGAAGGTGGAGATGACGCTTCGTTCGTTTGCCACAGGACAAACGCAGCAAAGCAAAGATTGTGGCTCGTCACAACCACAAATAAGCCGAATAGACATGGAAATAATTTTAGCACTTACAGCTCCACACACTGTCACGCGTTTCATCGACTTCCTAACAACAACCCCCGTAATCCGACAGAAGCAAACATAGTTCATGTAGCCGGCAATACAGGAGAAAATTCTTTATTGTTAAATGTGTGTTGAACGTAAACTCCTCTTCGGAATTTCACCATTCAATGTGAATCAGCACTAAGACTGACACTTAAGATTTAGTCCTACACTTCACTCAGATTAGGACAATGATGCTCGATAACTAACTTTTAAGCACAGCTTTGAGCCAAGAATTTTTTTACTCTTAAGTCAGTTCTTAGCAGTGTTCTTATGAGTAATTCTGAGAAGCTTGATAAATACAGGCCCTGGACTATTGGTTGGACAAAAAAGCATTGTGAAGGTCACAATTTTTACAAACCAAACAATCAATCAATTAATGGAGAAAATACTAAGCAGTTTAATCCATAATGCAAACAATTATTGGTTGCACTGTAATAGAATATTAGTACAGTATGGTACTTATGTAACGGCTCTGAATCCTTCTTTTACCACTGTATGGTTGTGTTTTCCAGTTTAACTTTAGAAGTATGCTTACCTGGGCAAAGAGCGCCACATTTCTGCAGTTATCACCGTAATGATCAGTACTGTTCCTTCTGCTGTCACACATCCAGAGTAGAGATGCATCTCCCAGGTCTATGGCATACAGCACAATGCCAGTAATGGCAAAGATAGCTCCAGCAATGTTCATGAACACAGTGAAGCCCACCTAAGAGGAAATATCCCTTCAATTACAATTCCAGTTCAAGCAGTATTTGATTGCGTTTTGTATTTCAGCTAAGATTTGAAGACACATTAGGCAAGGCAATTTCATATGTGCAATTAAATGTGCTTTGCATAAAAATAGAGATTACATGATAAAATAATCTGATGGAAATAATTTAAAAGAAAAAGTAAAAACAATTACCATACTATCATATTTGTGCACATTTCCTTTAATTAGTCCATGGACTTTGGTGTACTCTACTTACCAAGCAGGGAGAAGGGAACTGTCCGGCCAAAATGGACATGATTCCAGTTACAATGAACTGATGAAGGGTCAAACAGATAGCTCACATCAGGGATAATCAAGCAGAAACTAAACAGAAACTGTTATGATGTAATTGTCAAGAGAACCTCAAAAAACGTAATCTAGAATTCCCTGCATGTGTAAATATTTTGGTAACACAACACTTAACATAATAGCTCAAGATACATTACATTACTAAGCTGTCATGGTAATTTTATCACAACATTGGACTATTTTACCACAGCACCCAGCCAGTAAGCAGCTCCTAAACTTGTCAAATCTCCAGGATTTGTGCTTGTTCGTCCTGGCCCAAGTCCAATGTTGAACAGACCTGCCATGATCTGTATAGTCTGTAAAAGATTGGAAACAATTAAATCTCTTTATCTTACACTGGATATCTAAAGACCACCACTTAATAGATGTATGTGAAATACATTTATTTTAATTTCTCTCACCCCGAGAGCTGTAGTGACGCTAGTCTGCAACACCCCCTGGTACACCGAGCGCTCTGGACTGTAGAAAAGAGCCTTCAGGATTTGGCACAGTAATGGAAACATGCTCTTACAGTCAGCTGCTACAGTGATGACTGTCACTCCCTTGTATTTGACTCCTGCACACACACCTGAAACAAAAAATGGGAGATTTTATTTTGTTGTTGTGAATGTGTGTCCTCCTCCACACCAAGTACTCTTGAATTATGGTAGGCTACTTTTGACTCAAGGTTGAAGCTCTTAAATCGCTCATTTTGTTTTGCTTGTGTGTGTGTGTGAGAGAGAGAGAGAGAGGTGGGTATTTGCAGAGGAGAATGGGTCAGCGTATGACTGCGTTAAAGTCTCAGCACCTGCCAAAGTAAACAGAGTCACTGGTATCGACCAACAACCCTATCAAATCCAAATATGCATGTGTATTAAGGCCGTGGGTTATACCATGAGGCAGTGAGATTAAACTTATTGTCCCTTACACAAAACCACATTGCTTGAAGTTTGTTATTTAGTAACTCAAAAATATGCTGCAGATGTTTCAGCTGCCTGACTAAAAGCATCATTTGATTCAGTTTTCAACCTGCAAAATGCTTTTTTTCCGAGGAGTCTTTACTACATCAAACAGTATGTCACATTGTCATAAGGTGTACTTTTCTGACGTTAATATTTAGCACTATTGAACCTTTTGCAAACATTAGTTTTCATCCGGAGGCTGGATGTCTTTTTTAGTTTTTAGGGAAAAGTTCTCCTTCACACACTGCTGCACTTTGCATGTAAGCGTTTTTCACCAGAACCACTCTCACAGATATCTCAAAACTAACCTCTCTGCAAACAACAGAACCAATAAAACACAGGCTAATTCAAGTTCAATTTCAACGCAAAAAAACAAAACAATTCAGAGCTCACTCAGCATGGTGTCTCCATGTAAAGCTCACATTATTGTCAGTCATGAGTGCGTTTGTGTAGAAAACTCACCTGTTAATGACCTGATGCTGTTATTGCTACAATATGAATCCTCTGTCAGCACCAACAGTTAATTTGGCAGCAACAAAAAGTTAAGTTCCTGTAAGACTGTTCAGTTATTTTCAGAATAAAAGCCCCATGTCCACAAAAAGCAAACAGTGTTGCTGGAAGAACCTCTCAGCATCAAAGTGAGTAATTGTAGTGGAGGAAATGCACAAATCATGACCAATAAGTTATAATGTACATTGTGTGTGTTACAGTATGCCCACTATCATGACATAGCAGAGGTTAGCTGAGTCAGCCGTTACGGTGTACGCTGTCATTTTCACATTTTTGACTGCAGTCATTGACAACTTGAGATTCGGTCCTTGGAAAAATCTAATTTGCGTACAAAATTTTAATGTTTAATTCAGACAACACAAAGGTCTGCTGATCAGTAGTTTTATTATTTCAGACTGAGGTCTCATTTTTTCTTTGAATTCATGCGATAAAATAGCAAAGAATCAGTGGCTAATCCTGTGTTTTGTAAACACCTTTTTTTTTTCTTTTACATTCACAACCTTTTGACTTGGCATGAATTTAATAAAACCCGTCTCTTCAAATAAAGACTGCAGTTCACTTGTTACTGGGAGGCTGGACAATGTCAATCTTGCTGCACATGTATCAGAGAAAAAAAAGCTTCTCAAACAACAGATATTCAAGACAGCTCATCTCAATCTCATAATCATGAACCAATTACAAAAGACACTGTCGGATGTCAACAATATTAACTACCAATAATGTTCCTTGTGACATAATGTTGTCCTTTAATTGTGGCCTTGATGAATCTGTTTTCAGCCACAGATGTTTAAATTATTAGATTATAATTCAAAGTCACCCATACTAGGAAATACTGATTTCTGCTTAAAAGTTAATTCACTAAATTAGTATAAAAATCGATCCAGACCCAAAAATCAATCAAAATTCATACCAGATGAACAGATTCAAATGGCTCAATATAAACTAAAGCCTTGCAGCAAATGTTTTCAACATGATGATCAAGTTAAAACAGGCCTGGTGTAGTCGCAATTCAATCTTTAAAAAAAAAATAAAAAATTCAGACATTTTAGTCCTAAAACCCTCTGTGCAGTAAGAATACTTAACTTGTCTTTAATTTGAATAAACTTGTTTAAAATGTTATATAATAAAGAGTGTATCTTGAAAGAACAACATGATTTTAGAAAACTACTGAAAGATGTTGATTTCCAATGACAACAGGAACGCATCGGCATTTAGAAAAATACACAACGCATTTTCAAATTGTAGTACTCTTCACCTCATACTTCAGCTTTCCTTTTGACTTTTCTTTCCTTTACTATATTTGTACACAAATAGCACAAACAGTTCATTTCTCATTTATTTATTTATTTATTGGCTTAATTTTGTACAATAGCAAACAGTCAATCAATGTCACAGACAATTACAGGAACTGCCCTTCTATCTACAAATGGACTGTAAGGCACATTTTGACAGAAAATCCCAATCAACAGGAACTGTTTTTAAAAAAACAACCAAGAATGAAAGTAGCATATACAAATTAACACATATTATTACCAAAAATACTCAAAAATATAAGAGCAACCCTTGTAGGAAAAGACCAGAAGTTAGACCATGCCAGAAGAAATTGTGAGAATCACTGAAGTTACAGTACACACGATAAATGATATAAATTCCACAGGATTATAGCTCCTGCTAACTGAAAGTGAGAGATTTTCATTCAGGCTACAGGGTTAGTGGTAACTTCCTCTAGCAGTGGTTGGTAGTGTTCTGGGTCCCCGACGCTCTAAGAGAAAAATTATGAAAGAAATATGAGAAAAGCTGCAGACAGTCAAACCTTTAAGAAAAGCACACTACAAGAACTCTCTCTTTCCTCACGCCCTGATGTCTGAAGTAAGGTTTGACAGATGCTTATCATATATCGTTCAAAGTGCAGTCTTAGGAAGTAACACTGCGGTAATCTTTCTTTATAACCCAAGTTGGAATGAATGTCAATTAGCCATCTAAAATCAATCAGTAACCCAGCTAACATTATCCAGAAAACATTGTGTAGATGTTTAATGCAATTTTTATTGACCTCTTGCTTACCATGTAACAACATTGTAATTAGTGACAAAAGGACAGATCGTTAAAAACATCATCTGGGTTATATTGTAGCTATTGTATATCGTGTTGTAGCTGTTTTCAGGGTGGTGTACCAAGGAACAAGTGTAATTTTTAATATTAAAGTAGGTGATCCGCTACACTGGGTTTAACAGTGAAATGTGTTTATGCACGCTCTACCTTGTTTTCTGTCTTCTCACTGCTCCTCAGCGCTTTGAGCCCCAAGACGGCAGAGCTAATGACAACGCAGAGCTCCAGGGCTGACAGGACAACCAGCACAGCATCAATACTTCTTACAAGCATCTGGTGGGACACAACAGTGTTAACTTTTCAACACATCAAGTTGAAGCATCAGACCTGCGAGTGAATGATTATCACAAGAACTCATTAAAGACCATAAGCCAACAGCAGCAAAGTTCATCGACCCAAGTCAAAGCATTTGGTAAAGGAAAGAAAGCTGAACAGGAACCGAGTGTGAACTATTTTTAGTGTTGAGCACTAGAATGGAAGACGTGGCCGCCCATCCAAACTGTCTGGGGTCTGTTAGTGAGGAAGTCAAATATCCAATTGCAGAGTAGTACTTAAGCCCAGAGTGGTGAGTTTGCCAGTCAGTTTCAAGGGGGAGATTGTGTTAGATGTAGAGCTGGGCAATAAAACAATAATGATAATTATCGCAATATAAATTTTCCTCAATAACAATATAATAAATGTTCAATATATTGTCAATAAATATTTGGTTTTATTAATTTGAATCTGAACAAATTAGCACTTAATTTTTCTATTTAAATATTTATTCTGTTGAGGAAAAGGGACTTTGTTTTATTATAATAGTTTTAACTGTTCTACCTCAGATTTTTTAAGTGATCCACTGTAAAGCATCAAGTGTTGTCACATTCTGACCATAAAGATAAAGTGTCACACAATTAACGATCTAGTTTCTTGTATTTACACAGGAGCAAAAATCATCCCTTAAACTTGAAAGAAATAATGATTTGACATTTCGTGATAATTATCGATATAAAATGTTTATCATGATAACATTTTTGGCCATATCGCCCAGCCCTAGTTAAATGGTGAGCAGATAGCAACAAACAGCATTCTGATGTAGGGGTCATTTGTGTGTGAACACTGTGAGGGCCCAGGTTGACTAGGAAGTTGTTTTTGATGTGCTGGCCAAGCAGTTTCTCAAATGCACTTTATCAGATCCTATCTATAAGATACTTAAAATCACATAATTCCCCCCCCAAAAAAATAAATAATACGCTGTGGTAGGGCTGACCCAAATAGTTGAAGATTTGATGCGTCGATGGGCAGAGCCTGATTCAACTGTCAATCTCACAGTCGAAGCTTTGCAGTGAAACAAGGATCATGCCATTTTGGCGATATGGGGGTGCTTAATGTCTGATTTTACATAGAATTACCAGTTTTCTCCCAATAAGTTAATATACAGACTATTACAATAACACTTCAATGTTTAATGCTGTAAACAAACATGTAAAAAGAATTTTAAAAAAATAACTTCCAATAAATGGTTTTTAAAGTGCGTGAATAAATCCAAAATTGTAATCCTAACTGTGGGTCGTCAGTGAGCATGTGTAGGCGTAGCGTGTGTGCGCGTGTGTGTAGTGGCAGGAGGAAAACTTGCCGAAGAGACGGAGCCACAGCTTCACCAGTGTTGTGCAGAGTTGTCTGCACCTCGCGGGACATTTATCACCGCACAAAGAATATTTTGTCGTTTTTAAAGAGCTGCTACTTGAAATAGACCTGCGAGGAACCAAGACGTGCACGCAGTTGTCGGCTCCACGGCAAAAACTCTGCACAAGAGTGGTGAATCGCAGGAGAGTGAGACAATGGTCAACAAGAAGCCTCAGTTTAGCTTCGGCTCCCAAACGCCCTGCACAAAAACACACATTCGACTATGTAAATCCTTAGTCGGGGACAGACCCACACTGTGGTAAACCTGTTCTGTGTAGGTACCTTTGAAACACCTGGTTGGTAAGTGAGGTGGACAGATGTCATGTACTGAAATACATCAGTCCTTTTTACATGCAAACATGCATGTAATGTTTGTGTAAATATAGTGAACGTTAAATGTGACTAGCATTTCAAAAGGTGACTGGCATACAAGAAAAATAATACTTGTTGTACAACTTAACTTTTTGACTGCTGACTTTCCACACTTACCAGAACCAATGCTTTGCCCTCCAAGCATTTATCTATCAGGGCCTTCTCCTCAGAAGCTGGACTTGGTGTAGTGTAGTCATAATAATAGTTACGATCACACAACCACCACAAATAGTTGTTTGCTACACTGATGCTGTAGAGTACGATGGCTGCAATGGCAAAAGCAACTCCTGCCAGATTCAGAATCACACTGAGGAGGACCTGAAATATAAGATTTGTCAGTTTATGTACGACCAAAGACAAAAAACACACCGGGCAGTAAACAGCATAAAGTTGTTTTTAAATAATCGCTGAAAGACAAAATTGAAATCGTGATTAAAATTCGATTATTAGCACAGACCTAGTACCAAGTACAAAATTCTCCTCAAATTTACTTGTGTCTTTAAATAAAACAGTGACAAGAGATGACAATATAATAAAACAAGTCCTTTTCAGATAATATGAGGATGTTATAAAGCTGAACTACTCACCAGACATGGACTGGGAAACTTCTCAGACAAAATGCTCATGGTACCAAATAATATAAACTGAAAACAAAAAACAAAATCTTTAAACTTCCACTCTTCAACACAAACACTTTTCTAGAATCTGTGACTGAGTGAACAGCATTTTGAGCATGAAGAGGGAAACTAGGTAACCCCTCATCATGTGCTCACACTAGCAGACAACAGTGAAAGAACAGAACTTATAGAGTAACATGTCCAGTAACATGCAGTCAAAGCACAATATGTGCAATTCCTTTAGTTTTTTCCATTTGTGTCAAGTAAACATGTCTTGTGAAAAGGATTTATTTACACTGAAGGGGACATGACAGTCAATGAATGAACCAAAATGTTTCGCCAAGTGAAAAGTCAAGTTAATTTATTAGCATACCTCATTTGGAAACCATGTATGAAATTGTTTTGATAAATAAGTGAAAATTTGCTGGTGGAGCAGGAGAAAAATCTCCACCAGGTCATACTAAAACAGCAGCAGGTAGTGAAGATGCTGAGTTAAACTTTCATTCAATCTTTTCACAGTTGGTTCAGGACATCTCAGAGTGTGTATGAGAAAAGCTGTTAGCTGAACATCCCCAATAAAGTTGCATTTGTCTGAGCTTTTGGAGAAACTTGGGAGTATAAAGATAAGGGCTGCAACCAACTATTATTTTCATTATCGATTAATTTGACAGTAGTTTTCATAACCAAATCGATTAATCGTTTATAAAATGTCAAAAAAGTTCCCAGAGCCCAAAGTGACATCAATTTCCTTCTATTGTCCAACCAACCATCCAAAACCCAAAGGCTCCATAAATAAAGAAAAGCAAAACAGCAAATGTTTGATGTTTTTGCTTGAAAGATTACTGAACTGAAAAGTCGATTAGAAAACAAAGTAGTTGACAATTTTCTTTCAGTGGTCTAATTTGTTAAATCATTACAGCTCTAATACAGATGTAAATTTTGTGCGGAATATTCCGTTGCATCTTGGTTTTGACACTTAAGAGCATAAAAAAAACAAAAACAAAATTTGTTTGCTTACCAATCCTCCGAGCCAAAAAGGAAAGTAGACTTCATTCATCGGCCATGAAAAGCCACCATGACTGCTACAGAGGATCGCTCCAAGGCCGATGTTGAGTAACCCGACCATAATCTGTACAGCCTGTGAAGGAAACACAGTATAAATAATAGGATGCATAACACACACGTACAGTACTATAATTGCATTTACCAGGTAAATGGAGTGTATTTATAAACCACCTTTCTAGTCTTCAACCACTCAAAGCACTTTCCATGTCACAATCACCCATTCACAGGGTGACCAGATGAGTATAAGAGAATTTCAGGACAAGGGAGTTGGGAATGGGTGTGCCTCCAGTACATCTGTCATTATGTTGTATGTAAATTATGATCGGTTACATAACCATTTAATTTTTTTTATTACTTTCATCAGTGCAGTGCCTGTGTCAACTGTGTAAAGAGCGTGTCAGATCTCTCCTACTCTGTGGCTGCCTGCACCTACACTTGTCCTGTCTTCATGACCGTAACTTCCGATATATACACTAGAAAATAAAAAGGTGGCTATAATAACTCTGTTGACCAGATATCATGCAGTCCCTGCTGTAGCCAATGGAGAGACAGAACAGTGCCCATCTGTGGGCAACACCAAGATAATGTTTCACAATGACCATCCTGAATTTTTCAGGACGTCTGGTCACCCAACCTCTCTGCAGTAGCTGCCATGCAATGTGACAGCATAATGAGAACACTAAACTTAGAGAGTGGCATGGACACAGATCAACAATTTGTTTTTGATCAAACATTTTTTTATTAATAGTTCAAATCAGTATTAAGTGAGGAAATTAACTGAAAGACACATAAAGTTGTCACTCACCCCCAGTACTGACTGAGAAGTCTGGACCCTCCTCAGGTGCTGAGACACAGAGCAGCACTCAAGGCTGTAGCAAAGGCCCTTGAGGATTTGGCACAGTGGAGGCCATGGACTATGTGGGTCAGAGGTCATAGTGAATACAGTGACTCCATCACCCTTGGTCATGGTCAGGGACATCCTGCCTGCTCCTGTAGACTGAAAGAGAAAAGAGTTTGTAAACTTTGAATCTGCTAAGTCAGGTTAAACTTTCACCTTAAACTAAATGCTGAATCCCCATCACTGCCTCAAATGTAACCACGGTGCCAAATAAAAAAAAACCCAACAAGTACAACACTAAACTGCCAGAGTCTCTAGACACTGACAGGTTAGTTGGTGGGGTTTTTTTGGCAAGTACAGGTCCAGTCAAAGTTGAAGGTCAGAATTTACCAGCTAAAATTTCCAACTTCTGACCTCCAGGTTCAAGGTGCATGATAATGTAATTTTAATGACAATGAGTGACAACCCCCCCCCCCATGTTCCCATCTAGCTATCAGTAGGTAACGTTGATCTGCAAAAGTATATTTCCTAATGTTTGCACATTTTTTACATTTTCCTTAATAACTTCTTTGCAGAAAAGGGAAGTTTCAGAGATTGATAGATAGAGAGAGTCACGTCATCTCTTTACAGCAATGGCGGGTCATGGAGCGTCTGAATAGTTCCCAGAAGTTAGCATCAAATACTAGCAGTGCAGCACAGCTGCAATAGAAAATGCTATCTGGGATGCACGTTTTAAAAAGGTAAGACGTGTAAAAATAAATAAGATTATGTTAGGACAATTGAATCAAGTTAACATGTTGCCTGTTAGTGGATTTTCCCCACTTAATTAGAAGATTTACGGACATTAACGGTTAACAAATTATGATGCTGGCAATGGATAAAGTCAGCAGCAAACAATATAAAACAGAGGCAGCCTATTAATTAACTATTAATTTTAAAATGTATTTTGGGGGGGGGGGTTAAAAGTAGTAGCCTATACTAACATATTATAAAAACAATCTGCTAACATTAAACACTATGTTCTCTCAATATCTGAGTGTACAAACAAAAAAGCCGTTAAATCATGTGACCTCTTTAAGCAAGATATTTCTTTTGCCTTTGTTTAGTGATACTTTTTTTTGATAACCCCTTGATCTCCATTTGTGATTTGTCCATAGACTTTATTGATGTACGGATGTTGTTTTCCTGCTGTATGTCCTAATTTTGAATAAAGTTTTGAGAAAGAAAAAAAAAAAAAAGATAGGTAGATGCTGCGTTCCCTTTGACATGGGAAGTGGGAAAATCCTGCTCCGAGTTTATGCGGCCGAAAATGAACAAAAAAAAAAAAACATTCCTGACCTCGACAAACTAATGTTTCTTTGTCAATTGTGCACACGGTTGAAGCCTCAGCAGTGCCCCTGGTGTACCTGGCCCCATGTTTCTTCATCGTTTTAGATGCAGAACAGGTGTTATGCTTCATTCCAGACTACTCAGAAATCTAACATTTGAAATTTCCCGACTTCCGACCTTAAAGCCTAATGGTGCAGGACACCCAAAAGTGCACGAAAAACATGGCGGACAGTGGCAAACTCTTTGTCAGGTGTGCACACAGTTGCACCATCAGTAGCGCCCTTGGTGTTAATTAAAAGGATGGCCCTTCTAATGAAAAATGACAAACAGACGTTACTCATAAACCCGTCTAGCTACACCAGTTGGTAATCCTCAAAAGTCACTAAATGTTGTAGATTATACTTCCTATGTTTTGGCGTTTAACATTTTACTGAATAACTTTTGTGCAGAGAAGATGACTAAATCTAAATCAATTAACGTTACATGCAGAACTGGTTTTACTATGATAGCATGAAGTGTTTTAATTTAAATAAATGGAAATATACTTAGTTGCTTTGTTTTAGTTTATGGTTTACTATTTACAATGTGTGCTTCCATGGGAGCTGCCATTTTTGCGTGACTTCATTCTACTACTTTACTCAAAGTCGGGGTGAATATTTTTCACAAGTAGGAAATCAGACTTACATGTACAGTCTACACACGATTGTTCTGGTGGTATTCACCGGACTAGAATCTGATAAAGAAACGATATAGAAACTTCGACATTACCTAAAGCTAGCTGTTATGTCTTCCTGTTAAGTGAATTGTATTGCGCAAGTTTATATTTTTTTTATAGGCTCTACTGATTATTTTTTTATTAGTTTGTTTTCTGTGTTTCACCTTGATAAATAGCAAGAAGTTCTTAACAAACTTAGTTAATTTCGATAGTTACCAGTGCACAGGACTGGCAAGCACTTTATTAGGTCACTTTACAAACTGAATCAAAGACTAAACTTACCTGTTTGCGTTTGTTGGAGTAAAGTCCAAACCTAAACGACTGGACTCACACAAGTCTATCTGTTATGTTTCTCCTTCTTTGAGGTTTTATAGCAGTTGGCATCCCCGATATTGCATTACTGCCACCTTCAGGTTTCTTTCTCCATTACATCAATTTTCCAGTCCAGTCAATGAGGTCCTTCAAAAAACAGGTTGGGATTTGCCGGGGGGGGGGTCAACCCTTTCTGGTCGGCTCGGATCGATCCGTGATTTTGTTGGGGTAAAATTTATTTAAAAAGATAATATGTAACGTTACGTATTTATTACTTTAGTACTATACTCTGATAGTTAAACTTTGCACCAATCTGCGTGCCGATCCGTGTGGAGATGATCCGTAGTCCTACTGATCCTTTGCACCACTATTCATGGTTTTTGAAGGGGGGAAGTTTTTCTATACTCAGCTGCTCAGCAAATACTTGTTTTGTTTTTACATAGTTGCCTGAACAGCATAATTGTTTTAGTTAACTACCATAATAAGTATTTTAAAGTACATTCTTATATACATTTCTGCCCTAAAACCATTTGTGTAATACATAACCTCTTATTTTTAAATTATAAAGTTGTTTAAAAATGTTTTAGAAAAAGGATGTCTATCTTGAAACATGAAGAATAAGCAAATAGCGCCATACATCAAAGTTGACTTCAGAAAAATAAACTTGAAAGATGTTGATTTGCAATGAAAACAGGTTAAAATGTTCCTACTAAACATGTTTTTCACCTTTTATTAGAAACCAAAACTTTCAGGCCTCAAGTCCAGGCTGAAATAACATCTTTTGAAGATTATTTTCACAGAACAGTTCTTCACATTTTAGAAGCTGCTAATAGGTTTTGTATGAATTGTTTTGGCAAAATGAAGTAACCAGTAACTAGCTGTCAAATAAATGTAGTGGAGTAAACAAAGTATAATATTACCCTCTGAAATGGAGTGAAGTACAAATACCTTACAAACAAAATACTTCATACTGTACATAATTAAAGTATAATAAATGTACATTACTTTCCACCACTGGGTAAGACTTTGGTCATTACACCAACTCAAGGTTACCAGCACATACATACAGTATATCAGTTCTATTAATTAACAGGATGTCCACATCAACTGGATTAACACTAGCTTTAATCATTTTATTTAACTTTCATTTAGGCTGGAAACTGTACATAGAAACATTTAAATGATATTTTCAAATTATATTGTCTTCAATCATACTTAAGCATCTCTTTAGTTATTTTTCCCTTTTGTACACAAAGAGCACAAACAGTTTTTTTATGGCTTAATATCATAAAATAGCAAACAATCAGTCATTTAATGTCAGACACATGTATAAGCCTCCCATTTACCTAAACATAGACTCACATATTTCTCTATTTAGAAATCATAATCAACAGGAACTGTCTGCTTACAAATAATAGACAGCAAATGCAAATTATTCCACAAAAAACAACAAAAACAATATAAGTGGAACCCTTGTAAAAAAAGACCAGAAGTTAGACCCTACCAGCAGAATGTGTGTAAATCATTGACGTTACAGTACATATAGTCAATGGTATAAATGCACGGGATTATAGTTCCTGGTATCTAATATCACAAAGCAGAGAGAGAGTTTCATTCAGGCTGTAGGGTTAATGGTGACTTCCTCCAGCAGTGGTTTGTAGAGTTCTGGGTCATTGATGCTCTAAAAGAGAAAAATATCAGAAAAGCATATTTAAAAAGTGCAGATATACTCAAACCAGCAGGGACCATTACTTTTTGTAACCCTTTCTTTCTTTCCCTAACATTAACCATCACAACTATATACCTTAACCCTTACCATAACCAATTCTAACCTGAACCCAAAGAAAAGCACCCCTGGGAAATTTTGTAGCTATTATACTGTATCTTATTAGTAATGTCACATTACACAACAAGCATTTGAGTGGCTCAGTGTTATATGGATGAGTTGTTTCCTTGTTATTTCCTTTTTAAAGTTTTGCTGTAGCCAATGGAATTACTCAAGCCTGAAGAAGTTAGTGTAGCCAGATACATTTAACTCAAAAATCCAGCCAACTTTGAAATAAGAACGTTCTGAAAGATGCCTACTCAGCATCTGTGCTCTAACATAAAAGTTTGAACTGAAGAAACTTTTAATCCTACATCTCCATGAGACCAGTGCCAACAACGTCTTTGCCGGGACTTCTGCTGTCGCACTGAAATGAGACTGCCATACTGGCATCAACTGCTCTCAAGGAGTCACCTGGGAGAGAGAGATAAACAACAGAGCCCTCCTGCGGCACGGTGGTCTCAACCCTGATTTGATTGCCCCAGTGTTATGTTAGCTTCATACATTTTGTTTAAATAACCAATTTACATTTCTTCACCTCATCAGGTTTATTTCATTTAACTTAATTTAGTTTGACAGTAAGATATTATTCACACTCTACCTTGTTTTCTGTCTTCTCACTGCTCCTCAGAGCCTTGATCCCCAAGACAGCCGAGCTGATGACGAGGCAGAGCTCCAGGGCTGACAGGACAATCAGCACAGCATTGATGCTTCTTATAAGCATCTGGTGGGACACAACAAATAGCGTTAATTTTAAAATCTTTGGGCACCTTAGTTACCACACACCTTATCTTTACTCCACCATACAACACTTCACAATCCATGACATGCATCCAACACAAAACAATACATTTACAGAGGCAGGCAGAGGGGTTGAAGGAGTGGGGGAGATTCTCATTGGCCTCGTGTCCTACCCCTGGAGCCCCGGGCGTCGGGGGTGCTGTGGGGTTGGTGACGGCCTTGCCTGATCTGGGGTGGGCTGGGGGGGGTCGGGGCTCCCCTGGCGTGGGGGCCCACCCTTGACCTAGGGTTCTGGGGACTCGGGCTTGTGGCCTTTGCTCATTTCTGGGCGGGTGGTGTGTCTATGGGCCTGGGGGCCCGTTGTCTCCTCTCCTCGCCTGGGCCCTCTTCGGCAGAGGTGAGGCTCCCGCTGCTTCCCCCTGCCAGCTCTCTCACATTGGGGGTATTCGGGAGTCTCTGGGGCGCATGGCCGGCTTTGTCGGGGTAGGTTTTGGTGCTCCTCCTTGGGGGTGCTTGACCGGGGGGGCTGGGCCCCTGTCCGGGGATGAGATCGGCCTCGGGGGCTGCTGTCACTGCCTGCACTATAGGGAGGGATGCCTCTGGCTGGGCTGGGGGACCGTTGGCCTGGTTCTCCCGCATTATCTCTCCCTGGCGGCAGGGAGCTTCCCGGCACGGCTTTCTGCTGTTCTTCCTTGGGGCGGTGTACAGCTTCCCCCGGGACATGCGGTCTGGGGTCCTTTGCGCTTTGGGGGGGTCGCAGGGTGCCCTGGCTTCTGGGGGTGGGGGTCTCTGCGCAGGTTGATCCGATTGCGGTTTGGTGGGCTGCGGTGGGATTGTGGGGCGATTGTCGCTGCATCTTGATGAAGTTTTCGGGATGTGCAGTGTGGGTGCGGGGCGGGGGGGGCACTGGTCTATGTTGTGTGCGCGCTGCGGTCGGTCCGGGCGCTGCTCTTCCGCGGGTTACGCTTTTTGTGTTCCATCGGCATTACGTTGTCAACTGGCATTTGGGTCGGGGTCTTGTGCGTGAGTGAGTCTTTGTTTTTTTTTTATTTGATTTATTCTTTTTCTTTCACCCACCCCTATTGGCTACTGGGGTTCTTGTCTGCCTGTTACAGTCGTGGCGTCCCACTCTCACTAACAACTACATTCTTTAACTGGCTTATGCGCCCACACATGTACACACACACACATTCACACACACAGACACAAACAAATTTGGTAGAATTATTCCTGATGCTTTTCTCAGTTATTTAAATTAATTATTATTCCAGCTCTCGTGGCTGTGTTGTGTTGCTTATTTAGTGTGTGTGACTGTTTCTTGTTTTCATTTTTCTCTTAGTTGTCTTAATATGTCAGCTGTTTATTGCTGCTGTTCGGCTGGTTGTATTTTACTATTATTATTATTTTTATTGTTTGTGTTTGTTGTTGTTTTTCTCCTCCCCAAGCCCCCCTCTCTGTTCTATTGCAGGTTTCGTTGCTTTCTGCAATTGGTGTTTCCCACAGCTTTTCCCTGTTGTCCCCACCTTCCATCCCCCTTCTCTTACAGGTGTTGTCCTTTCTCTGTGCTGTCTGTTTGTGCCCCCCCATCCCCGTGTCTGCCCCCCTGTCCGTCCCGGTGACAATTCAATACTTAATTAAATAAATAATAAAACAGACAAAGGAGTATTTTAATACTCTCTTGTTAAACTAAAATCTGTCTGGCACAATACGGTATCCAGGTCATTATACTCTATACCAGGCTGCTGGGCAGGACAGGTTTAAAAAATAAAAAAAAAAATCTAATAAAATCATTGGACACATTTGTTTATTTCATTTAGATTTCTTCAAATTGGTAGAATTTGTTATGTGATCCATTTCCTTCAAATGTGTTTGAATTTTATATAAAGCTGCATCTAATTATTATGGAAGCACATTGCATTCACCAAAGAAAGAACAATTGAGACATTGTCTTGTAATTATGACTTCCGTATATCATAATTCAAGGATTCAATTGTTCATTTAATAGTCATTTCACAAAACATTACGTTTGTAGGCCCTTCATGCTACACACACAAAGAACAAAACATAACAAAAACTGTTCTGTTTTGATGAAGTGAGGGGGATGAACAGGGGGAAAGAGCCTGGTGGTAATGGCAGCAGATTCAAATTCTGTATCTCTTGCCAGATGGAAGCAGGGTGAATAGACTGTGGCTGCAGGGTAGGCCTACTGTCTTTTAGTTTCCTTTGGTTCTGTGCAGGCACCTCACTCACTGATGTTAGGTAGATGGGCAGCATTTACGTTCTGGCCAGTTTTAATCACCGGCTGCAGAGTCCTCCTGCCCTGGGGTCTCATCTATAAACGGTGCGTACGTATAAAACAGTGCTGGAAACGTGCGTATGCCACTTACCAAGCCAAGGTTGTGGTCTATAAAAAAAACAAACTTGATGGGAAAATGTGCGTCCTGTAAGTAAACGCTGAACAATGCGTACGCACATAAAGAGGAGAAATGGCGACTCACATGGCAGAGGAAACAACAGGATGAAC